CTTACCTTTTGGCACACCATCCAATGCACTTCTTTAATCCATTTTATCTAGTAATTTGTATATTAAAAAATTATAGAAATTATATATTAATAATATATATGTTAAGACAAATCAAACAAGATCACACATGACTATATTTAGGCTTACACATTGAGAGAATTTGATGAGTCAAAGTGCTTAGATGAACAGTTCCAAAAGTTAAAAGTGGACAAAGAGAGTGGGACGGAGGTAGTATGATTTTGTACATTGTTGGAGTGTAGTACTCCCTCCGTCCTAAAACTTTCTTCCCGTTGCGCAAAACGAAGAAAAATCTCAAGTTTTTTCAATCTATTTTATTTAAATATTAGTATAAAAATAAAAAATAAAACATACATATTTAAAACCTACATCAAAAGTTCAACAAAACAAGTGGTGACAAGAATATTTTATTTTATTATATAGGCCATGAAAAAACACAAATAAATATAAATTTTCGTGAAATTGAAATAGTGCTCTGGGAAGAAAGTTTTAGGACGGATGGAGTATCTCATATGGGACCGAAAGAGTATATATGATAAGAATATTTCAATTTATTAAATAATCATTATAAATAAATAAATAATGATGTCAATAATAGATAGGAGTACGAGAAAGGGAGAGTAGAATTGTCGTGCATGCAGATAAGGGCTAGCTTGTCCAAAAGTACTCACCAAACACATATGGTTCGTTGTGGAATTTTAATTTCAAACAAATTAACCAATCGAAAAGGAAAGGTTCCTATGACTCCGGGTTGCTAAATTGAATGTTCTTACTCCTCCTAATCCCTCAGGCCTCGGTAAACTCTTCAACCGTCCGGCCCGAGCCAACCCTCACCCCTTCAAGTTTTGACTCCAAAGTCAAAATTATTAACGTGAGAGGTGCAATTGAAGGGGGTGAGGGTATGTTCGAGTCGGGAAGGGTGGGGAGTTAAGAGGGGTACGAGCCACTAATTTTACGAACAGAACACCATAGCAGCTGCTCCGGATCATCTCATCACTTGGGGTAGGAATCACTTGTCTTGTGCGCGGTGGGCACGGGTCTAGCGTTCTTGGCCGACTGAGTCACCATGATTTACATCCTCCACCATTCCTGTCGGGCAAGGGGGTGGGGGCGCCTGGGGTGGGCGATTCCACCTTTTGGATCGATGAAAGACATTTTAGTAATTAAGCTTTCACTTTTTTTTTTTCCAATTTGAAAAGTCTGGATGGAAGAAGTACTGACCAATTCAAAAAGCTTTGGGTAAGTTGTGGAATTTTCAAAGGAACAAACCAATGAAATCACTCTGTTTTAACTAGACAATAATAGACAATGTCGGGAAGATAAGTACTACCCAAACAGCTATCATCCATCGTTGAATTTTCACACAAACTAAAAGCTCCTTTTTGGCGAGCCATGGCACTTTAAGTTTAAATCACTCAACGTGTCTTTTAAATTGGGTCATGCTACACTTAAACCAAAAAATTTACCTCATTTGTACACCACAGTTATACACAAACATTTTGATGGCTTACACCGACACAAGTGCTGGTGCGTTAACAAAAAGTTACACGGACACAAAGTGTTGGTGCGTTAACAAAAATTAGTTTTACACCAACACAAAATGTAGGTGCAAACTTGCGGTGTACAAAATGGGATACAAAAGTTTGGGGTACAAATAGCTTTATCCTTTTAAATTTCATCAAATCTTTCTAGCTCAAAGTTTTAAATTAATCCTATTCTATGAGACTTAAGAGAAAAAAGGAAACAAAAAAAGCTGATCACAAATTATTAGAAAAATATATTCATTTATTCTATAAACTCAATATAATGCGATTAATCTTAGAATATAGTTTTGATTTATCAAATATTTATTAATATTTATTCATTTCGATTATGTTTACTTTGTGGTAAAAGAATATCACTGTTTGACTAAAAAAGTCAAAACATAAAGAGATTTTAGAGTTGAAAATGTCAATGCTAAAAACTATCTTCAATATAAAAACGAGTAGAGTCTTATAGAAAAATGTCCCACAAAAACATCAACACATACGAAAAGTTATCCTTGTACATTTGCGTATCCAATTTGCTTATTCAAATGGGTTCCGAATCGACGCAACTACCCGATCGGTTCACTTTCAATTGCCCATAATCGAATTCGCGACTCCAAGCCCATTAACCCAATGAAGTTATTGCAATTTATAATACTCCGTACCATGGCCAGTTCATGTTTTTGCAGAAAATTACTCACGGGTGACGCGAGTTTTGTTGAAATAACTCTCCGGTCCCTCTATTTTCAAAAAGACAGCAGAGGTCCTTACATTTTGTTGTAATGACTGAAAGGAGACATTTCATCCAATATTTCATCTATAAACGTTAATAAATGAATTTTTTTCCTAATCTTTTCTAAATATTTTAAGGTAATAAATCTTAGGTCACTCCTTTTTTTATTTCTTTGTTTTTCTTTCATTTTGTTACTATTTTTTTAAAGTGTTATTTTAGAATTTCTTCTATAAAATCGTATAAAAATTCAAAATTGTTTGTATTATATTAAAACAAATGAAATAAAAAAAAATTTTAAAAAAAACAAGGTAATGGCAAAATAGGAAAAAAAGTATTGGAAAAATAGGAAAAAAATTCATTTATTAACGTTTATAGATGAAATATTGGATGAAATGTCCCCTTCCAGTCATTACAACAAAATGTAAGGACCTCTGCTGTCTTTTTGAAAATATAGGGACCTGAGAGTTATTTCAACAAAACTCGCGTCACCCGCGAGTAATTTTCTGATGTTTTTGTTTAAATTTATGCAATTGCAATTTGGAGTAATTTAACTAAATAGGACTAAAACATCATGACTTTCCCAATATAGGATCATATGTTTTTATTTCCCAATGTAGGATATTTGGTCATTATCAAGTAGTCATTATTTAAGTAAATGTCTATCATTACTGAACATTATTTCTCCCACTAGGTCATTATTAAATCCTATTTAAAGAATAAAAAAGATCAAGTCCTACATTAGTAAAGTTATTATGTTTTAATCCTATTTAATGCAAATTTCACATTTGCAAAGGGTATTGATTTTTTCTTTTTTTTTGAAAACGCGGTAATACTTCGTATTAGTTCATGCGTAGGTGTGACTAAACTCTATCAGCATGAAAAGTGGGTGTATAGTTGTTTTACTTGATACACTTAGGTAACAGAAATGATGAGTAAAAAGGACTACGAGGATGAAAAGATTGATGGATGCATAATGCATGGCTGATAAGTTCAATTAATTAAATATTTCTGTTCGAATGTATTATATTTTTCGAGAAAGAATCAAATGTTATGTTTTGAATTAAATACTTAAGCTTTCACATTATTTTGTTAACTCTGATGGATTTATAAATATTGTTTTTGAATTAAATATTTTAAATTATTTTGAAAATTATTGTGTTTGAGTACCAATCTAATGACAACCAAGTCCACTAGTCTATGTATTCGAGTTACCCAGATCGAAGTGTTACAGAGAGAGTAACATCTAGTTTTATGTGCGTCGAAGTGTTACAAATACAGTCTTGTAACATCTAGTTTTATAGAACTTTTCACATATATATAAGTATTATTTTTAAATTTTATACCTACAGTCAAATAAATTGAATTGAATACAAAGTCGATCAAATCTCGTAATAATGGAAGGGCTTTACTAGATAGAGAGTGTACAAGATAGATGAGTTATAACTTTTAATTACTATAAAAAATAATGCTCCATCCTTCCTAAATGTTTAACCCATTTTTGTTTACGAGATTTGATCAAATTTATTTTTCAATTCAATTTATTTGATTATATGTGTAAAATTAAAAATAAAATTTATATATTTAAAAATTGCATTAAAAATTGTACAGAACAAGAGATGATGAGACTATATTATTTTATCAAGCAATTAACAAATACGCCCTCTGTCTCATTTTAAATTGTCTATTTACCTTTTTCTTCATCCGGATATAAATTGTCTGTTACTTGTTATCATAAACTTTTAAGAGCAAAATACCTAAACTACCCATAAAATTAGTTACTCCTTTCCATCTTATCTTCTCATTCATCATCACACCTCCTAAAAAGTGATGACAATTTTGAAAAGTCAACTCTATTTTTTCTCTTCCTTAAGTATGCACCAAAGTAAAAACGGAACAGAGGGAGTATAAGTTAACAAAATGTGATTAAAGATTAACCGTGTGAATAGTAAGTTAGATAGCATTTTAGAGGGAATAATACTCTACGGGCCGATTTGGAAATAACGTAAGAGATTAGCTTTAGCATTTTGAAAAAGGCTATCTACAAATAGCTTTAGTGTTCACATTTTTAAATTAATCAACATCGTTAAAATTTTATCCAAAACGCTAAAACTAATAGCTAACACTATTTTCACACAGGCACTATACAAGTGATTTCTTTGCCAAAGATTTGCCAAGTGAAATTTGCAGTGAATAGGACTAAAACATACTCCCTCCGTCCCATAAAACATTTCATGTTTCAAAAATGACACGCCTTTAAAATGAGTAATTTTAGTGTTATTTTTTAATTATGACTAATCTATTCTACACATTTCATCATACTTTTTTATAAAGTAGGGGCAAAATTAGAAAATAACACCAAAATTATTCATTTTAAGCGCGCTTTTTTTGAAACAGAAAATGTTTTATGGGACGGAGGGAGTAAGTCATTTCCCAATGTAAGACTTAAACTTTTTTATTCACTAAATATGACTTAATAATAACTAGTGAGAAGAATAATGTCCAAGTGATGTTGGACATTTAGTTGAATAATGACTAATAAAAAATGACCAATGATCCTACATTGAAAAATAAAAACATATGGTCCTTTATTGAGAAAATCAATATGTTTTACTCCCTCCATTCCACAAAACCCTTCCGGTTTTGACTTTGGGAAAAAATAAGGAAAGTGTAATTTTGGTTAACTTTCCAATTTTGCCCTGATGTGATGGGAAAAAGTAAGATGAGATAGTTTGGTTATTAGTGAAAAAGTTTGATGTGATATGTAGGATATTGAGGAAGTGTTTACGTACGTACACCTGGGTAAAACTTTCGTCCGCTAATCAATCAATCACATTCAGGAGCCGGAGCTAATGGCAATGGCCTCCCCGACTCGAGTTCCCGTCCAAGACGACGGCGACTCCCCAGTAATGCGGCTGCCGGAAGAACTAATCACCAATATCCTCACAAGATTGCCCGTCAAATCCCTCCTCCGCTTAACCCGCGTTTCCAAAGCTTGGCGTTCCCTGATCCGCAGCCCTGCTTTCGCTAGGGCCCACATCCTTCTCACCGCCGGCGACGCCCGCCGCCTCTTCCTCGTCGCTTCGGACAGCGACGAAGGCACACACTCCTCGGTTCATTCCCTGACCCGTGACGACGATTCCTCCCTCATCTCTCTCCACCCCCTCGATTCCCCGCCCCCCTGTCCCTGTGGATCTCCCACAATCGTCGGCGCCTGTAACGGGATCCTCTGTCTCACCCCCGGCGGATGCAACCTCTTCCTGTGGAATCCGGCCACGGGAACGTCCTGGGAGCTCCCCGCCCCGTTCGGATCCGATTGCTGCGTCCGATTCGGATTCGGGTACCACGAGAAATCCCAGGACTACAAGGTCGTGAAGATCTCAAGCTTTGAGTCTTCCGACGGATCCGGGTACGGAAACAATGTTCAGATTTACAGTCTAAAGGCCAACTCCTGGACTTCGATTTACAATTACAACACCGGGTACACAACAGAAAAGTGGATCCTCTCTTGGGGATTCGAAGGCGGGTACATCCACAACCACGGCGGCGTCTTCCTCAAGGGGGCTCTTCACTGGGATGTTTGCCACCGCAATTCTCCTCCCGAAATTCTCGCCGTGGACCTGGACAAGGCGGACAAGTATAGGACGATACCATTCCCGACCTGCGACAATGAAAACGAGGAACTGGGTATGAGACTGGAGGTTCTGTGGGGGCATTTGGCTCTCTGTTTGTTCTCGCCCTCGGAGAAGACGGTGGAGGTTTGGGCGATGAAGGAGTACGGGGACGCCGGCTCGTGGATCAGAATGGTCTGTGCGCAGTCTCCGGCCGATCTCGAGGTCGAGGGCAATGTCTCTGTTCTGTATGCGTCCCAAGATTGGAACGAGTTCTTGTTCAATGTTGGAAACCAGCTGGTTTGTTACAACGTTAATGGTGGTTCTCTCAAGAAACTGGAGGAGTATGACTGGACTTCTTCTCTTCGTCTTCAATCTGCAACTTACTCTGAGACCACGGCGTTGACCAATAGGGTGTGTTTTTATTTTCCAATCTAGTATCACTGTTCATTGTCCAGTGGTCATTGTTCAAATAAAATGTCCATTGCTACTGGACATTGTTCGAACTAAATGTCTAGCATTTCCAAACATTTTTCTCGTCACTATACATTATTCAAGTGTTACTTCGGGAATAAAAAAGTTTAAGCACTACATTGGAAAAGAACATACGTTTTAGTACCGACTACGGACTATTTAGTGCAAATTTCATTTTGGAGAATTTACCTAAATAGTACTCCCTCCGTCCCAAATTATAATGCATGTTTACTATTCACATGGTCAAACTTCATTCACTTTCTTTCTCTATTTTTGTTAACAATTTGATAAAATAAAATACTATTGTCACTACTAGTTTTGTAGATCTTTTGATGTAGTTTTTTAATATGTAATTTTTATTTTTTAATTTTATACCATTTGTCATATAAAATGGTTTGAAAATAATTTCAGTCAATCATCGTAAACCGAAACAGGCGTTATAAAATGGGACGGAGGGAGTATTAAAACATACTAACTTTTTCAATATAGTACCATATATTTTTATTTTTCAATATAGTATCACTGGTCTTTGTTCAAGTAAATATTTATCGCTAGTGGACATTGTTCAAACTAAATATCCACTATCATGGACATTTTTCCCGGAGACTAGATATTATTTAAGTCTCATTTAAAAAATAAAAAATGTACTCCGTAAGTAATATATTAAAATTATACTACCTCCGTCCAATTTTAAATTACTTGTTTGCCTTTTTTCTCCGTCCCAAAATAAGTTGTCAGTTAGTTATTTTCGTAAACTTTTAAAAATAAAATATATAAACTACCTCTAAAATAAGTCAATCTTCTCCACATTATATTATCATTTATCATCATCCCTCCTAAAAAGTATTGACAATTTTGAAAAATCAACTCTATTTTAAATTTTCCTTAAATATGCTCAAAAGTCAAAACGGGTGATTTAAAACGAGACGGAGGGAGTAAATGTTTTAGGACTCCGTAATATTTAGTGCACCACAATTTTAACATTTTTATTTTAGTCATTCATATATACTCCGTAAAATAAAGTTGTTCAATGTTTTTATGAACCCCGTTGTGAGAATGTCCGAGTATAGATTAGGACCTGCCAAACTTTTTTAGTTCAAGAAAAGAAATTGAAAATTATAAAATGAATGGTTAGGACTTCATGTATGATGACAGTTAGAGCCTATTTGGAAATAGCCTTAAAGATTAGCATTAACATTTTGAAAATAGTATCTACGATTAGTGTTTAGTGTTAGCGTTTTCAAAATCATCTGCACTGTCAAAATTTTATCCAAAACACTAATACCAATCTCTAACGTTATTTCCAAACAAGCCCTTAATCACCAATAAATAATACATAATACGGAGTACTAGAATGAAAAACATAGTCTATGAAAGATGGGTAAAATTTCATAATGGTTTTATTGTCAAGACACTCCACACCACACAACAAATACTTGGGATTTGCTCCTTCACATGATTGGGAGGGAGCAAAAGATCAATATAATATTACAAATGTTAGGGCAGCTCAAAATCACTGCAGTAAATCAAAAGACAAATGCTTGTAATGCAATGAGGGGATTAAGTTGAGATGGATCCCAGCAAAAAGCAGCCATTCTTTAATGGGGTTTTACATTTTTACATGGATGGGGGGGGGGGGGNCTGAAGTCGATTGATCTGCTAAAGCACATTAGTGTTGTTCGGGAAGCACGGGTGGAGCAATCGTACGAGTGTTGTAGGATTGACAGTGGCGACACTTCTGCCCAATTATATGGAAGAATACTTCTGTGGTGTCATTGCAGTCATTGCATAATATCCAAACCTGCCAGAGTATCGGAAAAGGAAACATGTTTGGTAGACTCAATATCAGCCAGATAAGCAAGTCAAGAATTACTTATTTTGATGATAATCAAAATAGTCAATGACGGCTACCCAACACAGTTTAATTTTGTAAATTTTTTAAAGTCAAGAATTACTTATTTTTTTAATGGAACGATTCATTAAAAAAACTGTTTAATTTTGTAAATTTGGCAACCTCAAATTCAACCAAAAAGAGTCAAAAGCTACCCATGTTGATAAGCGTATTAAGCCGATTATGACATGTATATAAGCACTAGCCACTAGAGAACTGAAAAATGACGAAAGAGCATTGGTTTCCCTAGATACAAGCAATCTAAAAATGGTAAAAATGTCAACACAGTAGCTAACACGACATACCTTTCGGTCTCTATAATCTTCAGGCATGACTGTGTGCTCAATCTGTAGTACAAACCAATATTAGTACTTAATCAAAAGGACCATTCATAAAGTAAGATTTATATGGAAGTCATTCAGTTTTTTGAACTTCTAGGAGTTATACCGAGGAGGAATTGCATAGTGTGATTTGCCCCAAAGAGGAGTGATTAAAACTTTCATAAAGAATAATGAAACTTGTCTATATTTAAAACCCAACACAAAAAGCTTTTAATATACATATTTTGTTATGAAAAATTACCTCTTCATCCATTTCTTTCCAAATACTCGACATGTCTATGGTTGACTTGGAACATATTGGGCAACAGTACCTGAGTGTCATAATACTTATGGTAAGGTTGTATCCGTAGTTCACTGTTATGCTCACATTTTCATATGATTGTAGACAAAAGATACAGAATAATTTGCAAGAAACGGAACATTACTTTTCACGCTTTATCAGCTCACTAAAGCACTCATAATGTATAGTGTGCCCACATTTCATAACAGTTGTGTCTTTCAGAGAGTCAAAGAGGTACTGCCAGTTCCAAATATCAAAGAATTAGAATAAAACAATAAACTAAATATTCTCTTTTATAAATGGTTTGGAAATTTACCGAACACACCTCATAACAAATGGGACAGTGATGCTTCATGGAGTTCTCCACACAACAGTGGTTGTCACGCAGACTAACTGCATAGCAAGAGCCTGCAGAAGCACACTCAATAAAGAACTAATACATTCCAAATATTTCAAGAAAATAACTTAAATAAGGTAGTTAAATGAATAATGAGTTGTGTGTAGTTATATAACTCCCTATTTTGATGTTCCTTTGACCAAATTTGGATGTTCCTTTTTATTTGTCATTTTAAAAATATCTATGCATATTAAATTTTCTTTCCCAAGGTTGAGGACTGGTGTGGCACTCGGGATTTTGTCCCTCCTGATTTTGTTGCTCCTCTTTTGGTGATTTAATACATTTGTTTTTTCACATTAAAAAAATTATTTCCAAAAATGTACCATTTCCAAACTAATGAATAACTAAAATAAGTAAAAGATAGTAGATCACTAGTAAGAAGTGATCTGGTTTTCAATGATGCATTTTAGGTCAAATATAAAAATAAAGAATTTTTAATATATCACTCCAATAAGAAGTGACCATGTTAGCGCACAATGTTGCTGCTGTTGTGTATTGAATATTGATCAATGAAGACAGATAAATCGGAAAAGTTGGAGTAATAAACAGATGAAACGGAAAAGTTGGAATAATAATTAAGAAATAAAGACAACGGAAGAAATTCTGCATTGTTAAACCAAAGCCTCGTGTCTCAATAATAATTGCAAAACTATGCCACGTACCGCATTTTGTGCAGTGAAAAAAGTTTTCACGGCCTCCAACTCTAGAAGAACGGTTAAACAATTGATATCAGCAAAGTATAAGACATCAGTGTTTGTTATCTTCCAGATTAACAGTAGAATCATGTTTTTCACTGACCTGCATATTCCACAATCATCACAATGAAACTGCCCTTTCTCTATCTGCAACAAGTGAATACAATATAAGTATTTTGGATCACCTCAGAAAACAACAAGGGCATGTTTGCCACTTACATCATCATCGAAAAAATTACAAATTCTGCAAAAATATTCTCCCATATTAACACCGCAGTTTGAGCAAACTTGAGCGACCTGGACAGCGGACAAACAGAAACAGAAGCAATCAAACAACATAACAAACGTACTCCACACTAGGAAGTAGGTAGCCATATAAATCAAGAGAGACATACTGGTTGCTCCGTGTCACAAACTGAACAGATCACCTGAAAATCCAAAGTTTCTGGGTCTATAAGTACCAGCAAGTTCATAACCAGCACTGACATAGGTAAGTATATGTGAAGTTTGTGGAAGACATACTTGTTTCACCTCATGCCGTTCCAGCTCATGCCTATCATAGGGATTTCGGAGTATGCTCTAATGAAACAAGTAAAAAGAAAAGATATAAAAAAGTAAAGTAGTCAGTTATTATTGTCTGATCATATTGTTCATCCTTTCCCAGCCATATCGTTTGTACGAACTCATACTCCATATTATATATCAATTCCAATGCATAGCTACAATTACTCAATCCATTACAGAGACATTGTCTAGATTCCGGAGAGACTCTTGCAAATCAAGATCAAAGTAACTGAGCATATGCATCATAAACTGAATGCTACATATATAAACACATAAGCAACATACAGAGTATCCAAGAGTATACCGCGGCTTCATTGTGACAGTGCCGGCAGTCATAGACTTCATTGCAGCAAGGTGCTCTGATCCTGCACCTTCTCCTATAGTGCTGGCATCTGAAAATTCCATAAATCAGAAAGTTATAAGTACAAGACAAGATTTTCTTTAAATCACCTAATATGTGGTTCACATTGATTTCTCTATACTCTGTATAAATCTCAAACACACAGTTTCCAATTTCTTAATCTCGGGCAAAGTCATATAGGGATTGGGTGAGAGTGTAATGTAAAGATACTACAGATCTTGACAGGTGTGACCAATTTACTCATCAAATCAACAGATGTTCTCATCAGATCATGGAAACCAGCAACAGAATCAGACAAGAACCACAGATGTATAAAGAATCAAACACTTGGCATACGCAAATCGAGAATAAAAAAATCAAAAAAAGAAAACATTGACCCGATTGGCGAAGAAGATGAATGACACGGGATTATATGAAAAGGGATGGAGAGTGAAATTTACCCGTAACCCATCATCCCAAAACCAAGTCGATCGTCGGAGGAGGCTTCCATTTCCGGCATCAATTGAGCAAGCACCTACACCACACCTCCACGGAGAGTGTAGGCGCCGGCGGAGGAGAGATTGGAAGGGAAGGCAGACGAGATTTGGATTTGGGATGAGAATGGCGGATAAATGGCTGCCTGCTGCACAGAACCCAAAGTTGCTTATCCAAATAGAAAATGGCAAGTGGACTCTGTCCTCTTTTTTATTATGGTCTCTCCCCCCGAGAATAGTTATGGAATATACTTTCCTTTTTGAATACTCCGCATTTTCTATTATTAATCCTTAAAATTTTCAATATTATTTAGGACATTCTTCTTTTCGATTTAAATTTTAAAGTTAGATATTAAAGAAAATAAGAGGAATTTGAAGAAATTGTAAGACGTTAAAAAAAAAAAGGAATGAGTTTAAAAATATTAAAAAACCTATGTATTAAAAAGGCATTCTATTATATAATCACCCAAATATATATTTAAGAAAAATATCGTTTTAGTTTTTTAAAAAAATATTTTTTTTGTTCATGTTAAGGTCATATGTTATCAATTTGGATATAGAATGTCATCGTATATTCATCATAAATAAATATTATTTTATGTCGTTGGAAGAAACTCGAAGCTATTGAAAGAAACTTGAAGGATTAAATACAGTTAAAGGTTAATTTTTTTCAATTTAAAAGAACAATGCCTTGGTATTCTAGATGTGAAGTATTAAGTTTGTACATTGTAGTTTTTTTTATAGATATCTTTTCACAAATAATTTTTTATTATCTTTGTCATGTTGGTTTTAAATTAGAAAATAAAAATATAATTTACAATGATCATATGTTTTTCTTATCATAGTCAATGCCAGAGCTTAGTACTGATGTGTCATTTGCCAGTTGTCACGCTATGCCACATCAGTCTTTGTGAGGCATGTTCAAGTTGTGTCACCCCAATTTACAAGGCATCTCCGAGACTCCAAGGCAATCTTGCTCCCAATTTTTTTTGTTAGGGGATGTTAGAGGTACACTAAAATCGAACTCTAAATGTACATCATCATTTCCATTATCACTCATTTTTATTTATTTATTTACTCCGTATTTACTTATTTTTTATATGCTAAAATACGTGATAATAGAGGAGTGATGTACATTTGGGATACACTTTTGGTCTAACTAGCATTTCTGTTTTTTGTTTTCCTCCGGTATTGTTTGCTCATCTTTTCTCTCTTTTTTTTTTGCCAGAGCTCTGTTCTCTATTCCGTTTTGGAGTACTTTTCCAATTGTTATGAAATTAATTAATTGTGAACTATATTCACCATATAATTGATGTTGATGGTTTATTACTGAATAACTATTTTGCATTTTAACAAAAAACGACAATGATTTTGGATTTATGTTGTTCTTGATCAAGTTTTGAGTTCGTGTTGATGGTTTATCTTTTTCTATGGTTGATATTGATTTTTTTATAATAAAATTGCAATGTCCAATTTCATTTATCTGTCAGTAGTTATATTCAATTGAACCTCCATTTTCAACTATTAGATGTCTATAATGAGTTTTTCATCCCAAATCTATTTTTACTAAGGGCTTGTTTGGGAATAGCGTTAGCTATTAGCGTTACCGTTTTGAAAAGATTATCTACAAGCAGCGTTTCGCGTTAACGTTTTCAAAGTAATCTGCACCGTTAAAATTTTATCCAAAACGCAAACGCTAATCTTTAACGTTATTCCCAAACATGCCTTAAGAATAACATATACTTATGTCAAAAGCATACATTTAATCGAAGTTTGTCTTGAGTTGAGTAAGAAAATATTATATATAATCAAACGTTCAAAAAAATAGATTATAACCTAAATCTTATTAAACCGATTTTAAATGAGGTTTGTCATAGTTATTTTCGAGCAGTGGATTTTGAAACTTTGAAATTTTCAAAATTGGGACTCCATGAGTTAATTTCATCGATCTGCTTCTCTTACTAATCTCCATAAGCATTAAACATTGACGGTTACGAATGAGAATTAGTAACATACTCCTCGTGTTTCACAAGCCAACTATACTTTCATTTTTTTGAAATAGATAACAATATATTAGTAACACTTTTAATCAAATATAAAAAATATAGCGAACAAACGAGCTACAAACTGCCCCACAACATCCTTTTGAATAGAAACTCGATCTTCTTAAGGACAAAGTTATGGGTCTTAAGGGTCGAGACATTACTATCTAAGACCCGTTGTACCGTGTGAAGAAATTTTATAGCCTCTTGGCTAGGAAACTAAATGTATCAAGAGCAAATGAGATAAACACGTGTTGATTTTCTAAACAAATTTTCTCGTGTTTAGCTACTTTGCCTAATTTCGCCTTCAAAACAGACTGGCCAACAAGAAACCAATTATTCATGAGCCCACAAGAAAGTACACACCTGTAAGATCTACACAAGCGTATTAATCTTTCCGCCTCGGCCTGACTCGAACACATTCTTTTACTTTTGTCGATTGCATCTCCGAGATTTAGTTGATATTGTGACCAAGCAATTTTTGTCATAAAAGTAAACTAGCAACAAAAAAGCATTTTACGAGTAATTGCCACCAATTTCAGCTTTATGGGCTATTTGGAAGCCCAGCCCAAAAGTCCAAATAAGATCTTTTTCGTTCTGACTCACAAAAAAAGTTAAAAGATCCGAATCTCAAATACCCACAAGTTCCAATAAACGATGTGGGCCACGTTGTGGCCCTATACGGCCGCACGCAATAAATGCGCATCTTAGCGAGCCCGACATTAATCAATCATGCATCCAACGGTTCCCACTCCTCGGGCGCATTTTAGATGCTAACATACAAAAAGATGTTAACGTGCGCACTCCCTCCTCCCCTTTCACGGCGTCACTGGCAAGAGCTCAGCCATTTTCTCCTCCTCCACCCACTCCCTGCTTCCAGTTCAGCTGCATTCTCTTGCACATTCACCGGCGCCTGTAGATACAGATATCTGTATGTATATGAGCTTCTCTGAGCTGAATACGAGTCAAAGTCGAAGAAGGTATTGGTAACCCAGCGTTAGGCTCTACATAGTCGTCATCTTCTTCAAAGTGCGTGGAACCCTATCTGCGTTGAGGTAAATTTACAGCATTTGTGTATGTGTGATGTATAGAATGATATTTTGAGAATCTATTGGCTTTTCTATTTTGATTTTGTATTTGGCGAGTTGGAAGCTAGTTTGCTCCCTGGTGATTTATTTTTTGATTTGATATGAGCATTTCCTTTTTAAGTTTCTGCTGTTTGCTTTTGTAGGATTATAAACTGTTAGCGATTTTGATTATAATTAAGTTCAAGTGTTTGACAATATTGTTTGCCTTTTGCCATTTTCCCTTATGAGTAGGCTTGAGAGCGTGTTAGCTCTGGAAAAATGGGGGTTAACAGCATGTTTGGTCTTTCAAGAAGGCGGACAAAGCTTGGGAGGTATTTACTTTTATGCTTTGGCGCTTGGCAGTTTCTGAAACATGATTTTGTATAGTTGAGTTTGTATTGAATAATTGTTTGTGCCTTGGTTGCTTCATTTGTTACTATCCAAGTCATTCTCGTGTGCGGTATCTCATGTACAGAGAACTCTTCTATCATACTTACTTTTGCTTCTTTGATGTCTTACACAATGACTCATTGGCATGATGAGACCTGGTTACTTTATATGGAAAGTAAAACAGTTTTCCCCATCTATTTCCCACCACGCTAAACACATTTTGAACAAACTTGCCTTTAGAATTCACATACTTTCCATGGTTACTGTATAAGAATGGGGAGCCATGGAATCGGATTCTCGAGAAAAATGAATGAAATTCTAATATGACCATTTTGTGGGAATCCCGTGAGCGTGGCAAAGCTAGCTATATCTTACGAACAACGAATGCTGGGTTGGCATGTCTCCAATGTCTCTTCTGTGCATATACTTTCCTGTTGTGATGCCGTTACTGTTGTTATGACCTTAATACTCCATATATCTTAACCAAAAGTACATTTAAAATTGCATTCATTTGCTGAATGATAGTATAATGGAACTTTAGGGATATAGGTTGTGGATCTGTACTTGTCTAATATCTTTCCATTTCTTAACAGATTGAAAGTTCAACTTCCAGAGTCTGCTCAGGGAACTAAAAGTCCCATCAGGAACCCGAAACGTTTTAGCTGTCCTAGTGTAAGAAATATCCCTTTTTTACCATATAATTTATGGGAAACCAAGCATGCATATAGAAACATCTTCAAATATGACAGGGTGAAGATGTTGTAAACAGCATAAATGAATCTGATGAAAACAGCTGCCAACATTCTACTAGTGCACCAGAGTTTAACAATTGCACTTCAGGGAGCTCTGAAAGTTGGATGGTCCTTTCTATCTCTGGAGACAAGCCTATACCTCGCTTCAATGTAGCTTATTTGCATCAAGTATTTTTACTTAAAATTTAAGGACACTCTAATGACTCTATATAAAGCAACACTAATCTTTATATATCCCAAATAGCATACTGCAGCTGTTATTGGGAACAAGATGGTAGTAGTTGGTGGTGAATCTGGGAGTGGACTATTAGAAGATGTGCAGGTAAATAATGACTAGCCTTAGCGGGTAATAACAAATTTTCCCATTGCAATTCTCTACAGTTAAGACATATGACATTTTGTTTTATAGATTGATTTTCTTGAGTTCAAATTCCAGGTGCTAAATTTTGATAGATTCTCATGGAGTACGGTGTCATCAAAGCTTTTCCTTTCACCAACCAGTCTCCCTTTAAAAATTCCTGCATGCAAAGGTCATGCTTTGGTATGTATTCGTATCCATGGACAGATGTAGAGATAAATATGTCCTTGTGATGTAAACTACAAAGAGCGTGTTTGGTGTTACAGAAACACTGTACAGAAGATGAAATAATTATTGCCAAGTAGCATGTTTTTTAAACTTCTTTACCACCAGTGGTTCTCTATACAATATTAATGGTTGAAAACCAATGTCATACCTATCGTGTTTTCTGACAATTTTTTGTTCATTACAATCTAGCTTCCTATTTCTCAGGTTTCCTGGGGAAAGAAAGTGCTTTTGGTTGGAGGGAATACTGAGCCTGCTAGTGACAAAGTTTCAGGTCATTATTCTCCCTTGTGATGCTTATAATTGTTCCCTGTGACAATTATATGTATTTGTACATTTTCTGCTCCTGCAGTGTGGGCATTTGACACTGAAACTGAACGCTGGTCTCTTATGGAAGCCAAGGGTGATGTCCCGGTAAATTTCTTTTGTATTTAATGGTGTTTTCCTTCTATAATGGAGGCCTGTGACTCAATTTGTCTTATCTTATTGTTTCTTATCTACATTTGTGATAATTTCCATTTTATACATTTCCCACTTTTCCCATCTCTGTCCTGACTGTCCATGTGCTTTAATTTAATTTTCAAGGTTTTGTTTGGATGTATTTCCTGCTACACAAAAGCATGAAATTAGGGATTTGGTTGTATTCCATGTAACTACATCTATATGTTGCTTCCAGTTAATCACTCTCCTAGATGTCTCTTATTATTTCTTGCCCCACATTTAATAAGCTCAATTCCAGCAGCTTACTACTACAACCCTAATCAAAGTTATCTAGTGTCTACTGAGATGTTACCCCTCAACTTTACTTATATGTACCTCATGCTTGTAGTGTCTTGTAAGGTGTGTGCTAAGTGCTTAATTTTACTCGGTGTGTGCTCACCTCTGTGGCTTAGTCCACTTGCATGTACTGTGCCTTAGTGGCTGTTTTTTCTTTGTGCCTTTTGCGTGTATCTGAGAAAGAGGGAGTGGAAACAGTAGCTTGTTGCTTGTAGCTACCTCTTAGAGAGTTAGGAATCAGATTGGGGAAAGAGTGCAGGTCGTTTGTTTAGTGTGGTTGGCCACCTTGCCCTGTGATATGCACACAGCAGACCCCGAGACTAGAATTGAACATTAGGCAATCTGAGGTAGAATGGAACAGTGATTACCAATCCAAACAATGTTTTCTATCAACAATTCAACATCAAATTCATAGACTTATTACAACTAATACAATTTGCAGCTTGCGCGCAGTGGTCATACAGTTGTCAGAGCAAGTACGGTTCTGATATTGTTTGGGGGTGAAGATAGTAAAAGGAGGAAACTGAATGATCTACATATGTTTGACCTAAAATCTATGACATGGCTCCCTCTCCATTGCACGTAAGTTGCGACAAACGAGCTTTATATACTGATAAGTGTTGATCAGCTTTTTATATTGTATATTTATCTATTGTGCATCCTTACAGGGGAGCAGTTCCGCCAGCAAGGTCTAACCACGTTGCTACTCTTTATGATGATAAACTTCTATTTATTTTTGGCGGAACGTCAAAATCTAGAACATTGAATGACTTGCACTCACTCGACTTTGAGGCAGTATGTGGAATTGTGGATCTTTTTTCCAAGTTACCTTTTCGCTGATTCTGCATTTCTGCGAATCCCCCTAACATGTAATAAGATATAATTGTAGTGCTGATTTTATTTTACAGATGGTGTGGTCAAGAATGAAAATACGTGGATTCCATCCATCACCCAGAGCTGGTTGTTGTGGAGTTCTATGTGGAACTAAATGGTATATTGCTGGAGGCGGTAGCAGGAAGAAGCGTATGTTGACTTTGCCAATACTTATACCTTTCACTTTATCTCCATACTGATGTCAAGTAGAATTCATGTAAAGCCAAGCAGTTAGCAATTTCAGTGAAGTACTTTGCACAAATTTGAAACTAAGTTTTAGTGTATAAGTAAGCGGTCATTCATAACTTATTAAAGCTTGTACTTTGTTTGAGTTTACTAAAAGTAAAAGGTCATACCATATTTGTCATACTCAAACAGGACTCATTTTTTCTCGGCCAGGGAGGTGTATTTATTTTCCAACCATATTTGTATCCTTTTTAGGTTATGCTGAGACTTTGATGTTTGATGTTCTAAAACTGGAATGGTCTGTTGCTGTTGCATCACCTCCATCATCTATCATCAGCAACAAGGTTAAGTTTACCACTCTTGTATTCATTACTACAGATTTTATAATACTGAGTATAGTTATAATAGAGCTAGAGAAGGCATACTCTCATACACTGAATGAATGTTTGGTTAATTTATAAAGGGATTCAGCCTAGTACTGGTGCAGCACAAGGAAAGGGATTTCCTTGTAGCCTTTGGCGGTTTCAGGAAGGATCCTACAAATCAGGTGAATCATAATTGCAACTGTTTCTTTCCAACTAGAATGGAAATGCCCCTCGTGTTCATTATTTTGAGCTTTGTTTTAAAGGTTGAAGTGCTCTTGATTGAAAGGAATGTTTCTTCAATGGGTCGGAAATCAACCTTAAGTAACGTAACAGGAAATATGCAATTAGGAAACCACATTTCATCCATTTTGTCAGCTGGCCAACCTTGTAATGTTGCTAAAATCAATAAAGATTCAGCTTCAAAACGGAATCCGACATCTGCAACAGAACATGGTGGCTCTGGTAGAAAGTCATTGTCAGAATCTTTACTCAGTGACCCGAATTCGGTTTCTGGTAATGTATCACTTCGCAAACAGTTCTATGATGAGGAAGAAACCAGCTCGAAGATGCTAGAGAGCTCAGGCGATGACAGTTCTTCACAGGTAAAAACAGGTACCTGGTGTTGTGTTTTCTTTGAACTTCTATTCCTACTATTTTTATGGAAGATGAGGTATTTGTTTCTGAGTACTCTTCAAGTAATTGCAGTTTTTACAGTATGTTGATAACAATGTACTCCCTGTCCTAAAAGTTTCTTGCCACTTTCCTTCTAGACTGTCCAAAAGTTTACTTCTATTTGTTTGTGAGCAAAAGAACACTTTATTTGACTACCATTCACTGATTTGGCTGTTATATTTTCAGCCGTGTTTGATAAACACCATTTGAGGTTGAAAAACAGTGATAATGTTTTTTTTACAACTAGAAAGGAAAGCTAAGAAGGGACCTCAAGGCATTAAATGAACTTACTATCCTAAGTTTCTTATAAATCCCATCTAGCAACAAGATTTGCAGATAAGAACTTTTGAGATTCAGTTAAAATTGTAAAATAAACGACTTAGATTGCTATTCCTCATCAGTTCTCACTTTTGTAAGTATATTAGAAATGATAAATGTCTTTACAGTTTACACTTCATACTTGTTTTCTCTTCTCTTCTATTTATCTTTACCTAAACAACATAACAGTCTACCCATTTTCCACTCATTTCTCCTCTTTTGCTGCTCTGTTTCTCATCCAAAGAAAGTAGTAGTATAGGTTGGACTGTAAGATGAACACACATATAGGTTTTGCTCATATCAGTAAGACTTGAGTTGCAGGCAGTAGAACGCGAAACAAGAGAACTTGACAGGTTTGGCGGGGGAACTATTTCCGGAAAAGATTGCACAATTCCTGAATCAGGGGACATGGCAACTCACAGAAAGCAAAGAAGCGAAAACTTTCCGCTAGACAACAGCGGTTCTGTCTTTCAAGAAAGTGATTGCAAATTTGGGATATCGGCTCCAGTCAGTCTCTATCAATCATATGAAGCAAAACTTACCTCCCTGCTGAGGAAGAACGGACTTCTTGAGGGACAGCTGGCAGCAGCATTGGTCAGTCGTGAAGCGGCAGAGAAGAGTCTGTCTGTTGCTCTTAAGAGTAAACAGGAAATGGAGAAAAAGCTTGGAGATTCCCTGAAGGAGATGGACTTGCTTAAAGAGAAGCTTGCTGGTGTAGAATTGGCACATGAAGAGGCCAACAGCTTGTCGAATATTGTCCACTCCGATAATGTTAGGCTGGAGCATGACGTTGCTTTTCTCAAGGCGGTTTTAGATGATACTCAAAAGGTACCACATGGGCATTACTTTGTAGTTCTTTTAGCACTTCAGCCACTTTTAGAAACTAATAATACATTTTGATTGATAATGGTTTTGATCGCATTGTAGGAACTGCATTCAACTAGGGGAATTCTCGCAGGTGAAAGGGCCAGAGCTTTCCAATTACAGGTACGTAATATAAGTTAAAGGCAAAGAATAAGAAAACCTCTCACATTCCGCCAGTGTTTTTTTGCTAGATTGTCTACTAATGGTGATGGTGTCAACCTTGGTGTCGATCATGTGGGTGGGGTTAGTGTTGGGTGTCTGTCCTCCGGCATTGGACAACTCAAAATAATACCACTCCCATATAAAAAAAGGGGTAAAAATCTACACATTGCCTTAAGTTTTCCAAACTTTATATGGGAAAATGGTCAATCTCATCCGACACTCTGCCCGATTCATTCGGCTCACCGAGAATCCAACCGTTAGAGTAGCATTACTCTTTGTTTTTCTTTAATAACAGAAGGGGAAAAGTGATTTGAGATGAAGACTTATGATGATTGGTTATGTAAATGGAGTGCAGGTTGAAGTGTTTCATCTAAAACAAAGATTGCAGTCACTGGAAAACCGAGCTCCAACTCCTCGGAAGCCATTCCATGTCTAGCGCTGGATTGGGGATGGGTGATAATAATTATATTAGACTGAACTATTATTGTATACTCTTTTGGTATTAGGGTAATGCAATGTTGTTTAAGTGATTGTTTAGTGATTTTTGTTAGGAAAAATGTACTCCTTCCTTCCCACTATAATTTTTCATTTTGGATGCCCCCCCATATACATATATTTCCACTTTTCATATATCTATTCTATTTCTTTCAAATAAAGTTCAATTGCACAACTTTAATTTTTTTTTATTTTTATGTAAGTCTATTTGAAAATTAAACAAAACTTATGTTCCAATCAAAGGCCCACATTATGAGCGAGAGCCCACCTTCTAATCCAAAGCCCAATGCTCCTTTTGGTATGTCGGCTTTCGGTATGAAGCTAAAATACCATCCCAGGGCATTCTAGAGAAAACTTGAGCAGTTTGAGTTTGTTCTCTTTAACTTATTTTTATTAGAATCAGTTCCGATCAGATTAAATCAGACTCGAATCAATTTTAAATATAGCTATGGAGTACATTCAAATAAGATAAGATCAAATCAGAATTTATTTTAATTAGATCAGAATCATTCTAATCATGTGAAGTGAACAAGCTCTTAGTCCATCAAAGATAACTTTATTAATCTCTCCCATTTGAATAGTTATCAATCTTTTCAAATACAAGTAATAATATTTTCTATTTCAAAATGAGATTTACAATTTTCTTATTTAAAAAAGGTGGTTCCTATAATTTTTCTTTCGGAGTAAATCTAGTTACATACCTTTTACTTGTCATAAAAAATATTTTAATTTTCATTACTTCTTTTAAATCTTATATAATCAAAATTTTATTTTCGGAACAAATGGAGTATTCAACATGAGATTTTGTTCCGTTCATTTACAATAATAACTTGGTGCTCCTTTTTAAAACCATTTTTCCTATATAGCTAGATAATTAAGAAAAGGAAATCAAACTAACTATACCAAGTATCAACACAGTTGGTTCAAATAAAAAAAACAACTTGAATTTGCTCAAGTGAAATCTAAAGTTTGAGTATACATAAAATCCTAATTGGGAGACACGCTTGTCTATCTTAGGTGTGCTATCCTGGTTGAATTGGATAGTAAGAGCGAAATCCGAGATACTAATAGAAAACATAAAAACTAACGATTCAAGTATGTCTCAGGCAAGAGTCAAGTAAAATATGTAGACAAATTTAACTTCTATAATTTGAGTCAAACACAAAACCATTTCTTTCCTCTGCATCCTTTCCCCTCCCCCTGAAACAAACAGACCCTTACACTATGTTTGGTTCAAAGATTTTGAAAGGAAAAGAAAAGAAAATGATTTTCTCTTATTTTCCTCACCAAAATAGAAGAAATTTGATTTTCCCTCCTCTTAATATATTTTGTCTTCTCATTTCATTTTCCTTCCACTTTTCTTTTCTTTTCCTCACTATCCAAACAAGAAATACTATTTTCCATCCCATTTTCTTTTCTTTTTCATTTCAAATTCCTTGAACCAAACATACACTTAGTGTACAGCCTAGAGAAAACAGCCCCCCCTCCAGTGCCCCCTGCGCCGCCCAGAAAAAAAACACAGAGAACAAGAGAACAATGGGTGTTTGGGACAAAGACAACATGGATGAAACATAAACCTTTTTGCTTACAACATTAAAGTTTTGGCCATAAGGTGTGTATATAGTGATAAAAATCATCTCAGTCAAACACATAAAGTCATATATCACAAGTATGGATCATGCCCTATAAAGGCAGCATTACATTGCCTTGCTTGGCACTTTCTCATCATAATCATCAGTTTGTTTTTGTTTTGCACAACACAGCCCCAGGCCACAAAAAGGTGGAGAAAAAAACAAGAGAGAACCTGAAACTCACGCCCCTTGGCCAAATTGAGAGCAGCCTGTCCCCAAAACCAAAGAGTGAAGTAAAAAAAATGGATGGACAATTTTGAGTTTCGCAGGGAGCAAATCCTTTTTTCGTTCCGAAAAGGGACTTGACCTTAAATAAACAAAAGCTGGCTGCTCCAAAAAATGAGCATTGATGTGAATTCTTCATGTTCGGAGGTGAGGGGTTGCTTGGTTTTTATTCAGAAGTTTAGCTACTAGGTACAGAGGGGTCTTTTGAGGGTTGTGGGATCTTTTGAAGAATGTTTTGTTTTTTACTTGATAAAAATAGAACAAGACAATTGCCCATGTTACTATGAACAGAGCTTTGGTGGGATTGATGATGACCAAGGCAAGAAAAGCTTCATAAGGATGGACAGAATGACACAAAAATATATAAGGATATACTCCATGGGTTGTTGAGCAATCAAAAAGAAACATGAGCCGGATTTTTTAGCTTGACGTGGAAACCTCACATCCATAGCTACCAGACTGCTTACCACTGGAACGGGGAGTGGGATCACTGTTCATATGGGTCCTCGTGTTGGGGGATCCAGAAATGGCTTCGGGTCTCAATCCTGAAGACGGAGGTAGAACCGGAGTAGCAATGATGGGATAGGGTGCAGTAGGTACATCAGCAAGGGAAGATGCAGACGGACTGTAAGTGAGTGTTGCCATCGGATGGTCAAATTTGCAAGTGAGCCCAAAATTGCATATGCCATTTTGTGAGTAGTGGGAGCAAATTGGTGCACCCTAAAGACAAAAAGACAATCAAACAAGTAAAGCAATTGAATCATAAGTCATATTCAAGAAACAGTCAATACATTACATAGTATGATAATGGGGACTTTTTATTACCGCTCCTTGATTCCTATTTTACTTCTCTTAGTTACTATCAATTGGTCAAACAAACTATTCTTCTCTTTACTTTTTTTCTTTAAGAATTTATTAAATGTTATCATTTGGGTTTGTGTGATTAATATAGTTTATAGATACATAATTTCTATCTATAACAAACCAATACAATCCCAACTCCGTTGGGGTCTGGAGGGTCAAGATGTATACAACCTTACCACTCTGTATAACAGAGAGGGCTAGACCCATGATGCATTGAATGCCCGAAACTTTATAGAAAGTAAGACGCATGAGAAGTTTAATATGCCATTTTGATTTCGAATGTACTTTGTAAGAAGCAATGGAGGTTTAATGTTAGAAAATAAAATATTACAAAAAAATCCAATAATTCTCCGTGAGTTAGTTCTTGAAAAAACATCTTAGGAAAGCACAATAAAGCACGTAGAGAAATTTTTTTGAGATCACTAGCAATGTTTATACTGTACATATACTGCACATCCGCATGCCTTACCGGGCGTAGAGGAAGGCCCATGGGGCTGAGTAAAAAACTTGTTAGTGTTCCACCCCATTCTGGCGGATGATGATATCTACACGAAGATCCAAATTTACAATCCCCTGTTCTCATGTAATGTAGACATTCAGGTTCGCCAGGTCTTTGGGGAAATGCATGCTCCTTCTGGCTACTTGATTGAGTGACGGGAGATGTAACAGACACATATGCTCCTGGATATGCAGATGCTGAGGACGATAATTGTGAGAAGCCAAAAACTGATCCAACTCCAGAATTGGTTTGAGGATGAGGAGAGGCAACTGGACTAATTGGTGCCTGCATGATGAGTTTAATATCGTAATTATGTTGTTCAAAGCATACTTAAAGTTAAAAGTAACAACATAGAGACCTTTAGTAAATGTGATTTGGCTGAAATCGTGGTTGATTGATGAAGTAGCAGGATCATGAAAAAGATACTTAAAATGTTCTTTTTTAGAATAAAATGAAGTGAAAAAGATGCTAAATGGTCATCTTTCAGAAACTTAAAATTATGAACCAATTTAGCACACAGAGAAACAAATTATTGTTTGTTAAAAAGTAAAAACTGCAGACCAAACGTAAGATAGTTAAAATTCAAAATTTCTACCTGGTAAGCAGTCCAACCCCCTGGAACCGGAACTAGACCAGGGGGAAGTATCATAGGACTATAAGTTCCTGGAATGTAAGAACCTGGAAAGAGTACTGGCCTGGGGATTGACCAGTTTCCAGGCATTACACCATACTGTTGAGATGATTGAATAGGAGATGGTACAATTGGGTAAACGGCTGGTGGGACTACAGGTGCTGGTGCAGGCACAGCAGTTGGTGCTGGAAGTTGAAGGCCAGCTGGCTGCGGATGATGAAATTTACAGGTGATACCAAATTTGCACTGCCCTGTTTTTATATAGTATGAACATTCTTTTTCACCCTATTTTTAAAAAATAAAAAAAAAGAAAACAAAAAAAATATGTATGAGAAAAATGCAGAAACATTATCAAGTAGTATCATATGTGAGTGTAAGAGAATGTGAACCGGTCGCAAAGGGCATCCATAAATATTAAGTGGCACTGCAGCAGGTGATCCACCAGCTCTCTGTCTTGGATGGTGATACTTGCAAGAAGCCCCAAATTTACACATTCCTGTCCTCATATAGTACTACAAGTTCAACACTTACCCATTAGAGATAAACCATAGCAAGCCAGAAATGCTAAAATATGAAAACATGAAGTTTTTTTAATCATATATACGAAGAAGCAATGCTTTCAATTCCATTTTTGTACAGAATTGGATGTTGAATGAGATATCTATGTTATTTCACAGAGTAGGTGGTCAGCAGGTCATCGGACTGAGCATGCTTTCAATTAACAGTAAATACATGAGAGAGAGAGAGAGAGAGATTTGAAGGGGTGCAGGTTAAACTCAGTTCCTGAATGCAGAAAACATACACAGAGACGTGAATAAAAAATGGACTCATATACACAGTACATGACCTCATGATGATAGAACAGAAATATTATGAGCAGAATTCGACACACCAATCTACCATATCACATTTCCTTAATCAATTAACCAATTACATGAAATACTGGTTGAACATCAAAATATCGAATGCTAGCAAATATATTAAGTCAGAAAAGGTGAGCATAACAGTTGGCGGAGTAGCGACAACCAGACTATTCATTATATTCAGGCCAAAAACAAGATGACAGAAACTTGTGAAAGAATAGAATCACACTTTCAAGAAATTAAGAACAACAATGAACCAGTTGGGATTATCAAGGAAGTGAAAGGACAACACCACAGTACCAGTATAAGATATGGGAAAAAAGAACAAATTTCAAAGATAAGGCAAATAACTACATAAATGCCATTTTTACCAAGAACTGTTTCACACTTTAAAAAGAAAACAAAGCTCAAGCATTTAAGTAAAGAAACTCATAATGCTTATGATCAATAATACAACTTACCAAATTCAGAACAAGAAAATAAAAGTATATACTCCATCCCTCCCAAAAACAATTTCTCACTTTCTTTTTCCATTTTCCCCAAGCTTCCCACTCATTCCATTTCCCTTCAAGGAAAATGTGACAAGACATTTCTCTCTTTTCTAACCAAAGTCTAACCACACTCTTCACATTTCACCACTTTCCTTAAACTGTGTGAAGTCAAAGTGGAAAATTGTTTTTTGAATAGATGGAATGAAAAGGAGTGGTGCAAATTATGCAACCTACCCATTCAAGATTCATAGCACATCTAGCAGGTTTAGTACCCATTGTCCGTCATTTAACACAAGTTTTACATATGATATTGCTAGAACCAAAATGAGCTATAATCTAAAAGCCTAAAACAAAAGAAACATGCCTAGCAAGAACCAACACTTGCGATATTCTAGAGGGTATATACAAAGAGAGCAAGATTTTGGGGAAAAATGCAACTTCTAACTTTCCATTCAAAACATTCAAAAGAAGCAGTTTGAAAAGCACCATCTATATAAGATCAGATACTCAAATACACATCTTCCATAGATGGAAAATATATCCCAAGGGAGGGAAATTTAATTAATGATAACTGGGACAGGAGTTCAAATATTACAAAACCAAAAGCACTTGAAAAGTAACAAAGTCCATTCTCAATAGCATCATGAACTTAAAAATCCGATGCAATGTACCACAAGACTAGTTAGATGCCATGTATAGATCATGAACTGTGAGTAATAACCATTCAAGAAACATATATATAAGTCTGCAACCAACCCCAGGAATTCACTAAGGAAATTTACCTGGCAAACCGGCTGACCCACTCTTTCTGGGTACTCTTCCCCACTATACCTCATAGCTTTGATAGCCTAAAATCAGTCCAACAACCAAATTCAGTCAATGCATGTAAAGATTTCACATTTTTTTACAGACAATTGAGGAAGATCATACGATCAAGGGACTCGATCTTCCCTCTATCAAGTAGTAGTATTGATCTAAAACTACACAGGATAAACAGAAAGAAGGCAATCGGGACCAGAATCGAGCTCTGTAAAAAAAACATTGATCGCGGGAAACCCCCAAAAAGAGACCCTAAAATTGGGGGGTGAAAATGAAAATCCTGGGAGAGAAAGAGTACCGCAGTGATACGGTCTCGGGGGTGATTGAACCGACAGCGATCGCCATAGCCGCAGAAACCGGTACGCAGGTAATGAATGCAGTCAGCATCGTTGGGCCGTTCCGGGTATGGTTCGGACCCACCACCGCCGAGTGTCAACTGCCACATGGGCTCTGCATTCACAGTGAAACCGCTTAATCAGGATCCACATTACCGCGGATTCTAGGACCGGAGAAGTTGAAATGCAAGTACTGACCTTCGAGCCCGGTCTCGCCACCTGGCACCATCCACTCCGCAACCGGATCCACCGCTGTTCCCTCCGCCGCCTGCGTCGTCGACCCATTGGGCTTTTCCATTCTCCTCCAAATTCTTCTTTCTCTCTTTCTTTCTTCTTCTTCTTCTTCCGTGCGTGGGTATACAAAAACGCCTATGCACAGTGTTATAAAGAAAAAGGGAGAGAGATGGAAATATGTACGGATTGCGTAAATTGTGTAGAGGAATCTACAGACAATTTGTGTGCGAATTGGAGAAATTGTGTGTATGTGTGTTGGAGTGCACAGCCATGAAAATGGGTTTGATCAGTTCAGTTTTAGGGAGAAACGCCGAGCCCAGCCGCGCCGCGCCGCGCCGGTTGGGAAAAGGTGGGTGGTTGAACCTTTCTCTCTCTCTCTCTCTCTCTCTCTCTCTCTCTCTCTCTCTCTCTGGTCTTTGAGCAGTCCTCACTCTGTCTCTCTCTTACATAACACAGTCTAATGTGTGTCCTTTTCCTTCTTTTTTTTTCTTTCTTTTTCTTTTGCGCGCGTGTGAATGCTCTCACTTTCTCGTGCCAACCTCTCTTCTCTTTGGCCAAACTCCAAACAATACACTTACCCCAAAAATATATTCCAAAATTATATCAAAGATATACTAATATTTGATGGTTTGCACTGATATAAAATGCTGGTGTGTTAATAAAAATTTATACTAACACTATGTTTGATTCAAAGATTTTGGAAGGAAAAGAAAAGAAAATGAGTTTCTCTCATTTTCCTCGCCAAAATAGAAGGAATTTGGTTTTCCCTCCACTTGGTACATTTTTCCTCCTAATTTTTTTTTCCTTCCACTTTTCCTTTCTTTTCCCCTCTAACCAAACAATAAAAATGGTTTTCCACTTCATTTTCTTTTCTTTTCCCTTTCAAATTCCATGAACCAAACATAGTGTAACATTTTGTGTCTGTGTGAACTATCACTCAAGCATTACACTGGCACAAAATGAAGTGCACACTTGCGATGTACAATTGAGGTACAAATACATTATCCAAGTCCAAATCATCAACCATGTTAGTGTAACAAATTTTACAATAGCATTTTGTTAATGTGTGAATCATCAACTTAACATTACACTTATACAAAATGAAGGTGCATACTTGCAAAAGTACAATTTGTGATATAATTTTTAAGTTACAAATAACTTAATTGCCAAATCATTTCTCAAGAGCTATGCTAGGATAACCTTGCATTTTTTACTTAATCATATCCACTTTGTACTTTGTACAAATATGCACAAATAATAAATGTTGGTGTGGTATTAGCATATATTTTCGGCGGGTCTCTATGTAAAGCATAAAGTCAAACAAAAGCGATGACAAGTACAAAAATTAAAGTTTTGAGAAAAATATTCTGAAAACACCACAATTTAATTTTTAACTATTTGACTTCAGAAACAACAATAGACCTAAAACTAATTTTGGGAGGCAGATGAGAGCGATGACAAATGCGGATGGCGTTTTGTTATTTTAATAAATATTATGGTTTAATTTCATAATGATAATTTTATCTTTTCGTGCATGAACCCAAAGAAAAACTATTTATTTCCACTTTATTTTCTTTTCTCTTCCGTTTCAAATTTCTGGAACCAAATATAGTGTTCATTTCCTTCAAATATCAAAACTTTTTCCATCCATTCACTCCATCACCAAAAGGCCTTTAATGTCGTCATTATTAGAAACTCCAAGGAATTAATACTCATCGTTTTTATAAAACGTTGCCTGTTTTTGGTGGAAAATTGTTTTTATACTCCGTATATGGCAAACTTAATACGGAGTATATATTGTCGTATTCAACCAATAAATACTACTCCCTAATCAATGACTAACCTCATATTTATTTTTTACACACATGAGGGTGGAGATATAAAAAGTGGGGGTACTTTTGTCTTAAAGGTGTATAAATGTTACCAAAGTGAAATATTGTAATCCATTTTGGGACAATAAAAAAGAGAAATATTGTAATCAAAATATGGACAGAGTGAGTATGTAACTTGAAAATGTGTATGTTTTAATTTATGTGCTGTGCATAGTATGAGTATGTGTAAAAAGTGAATAAATATGCACTTTTCTACAAAATGTAAACAAATTATATTTTTATCCTTTTATGAATTGGAAGTGTTATTAATAACAAAATAATTTTTTTTAACAACGAATTGGAAGCATTGTTAACAATAAAATAAAAAGTTTTTTTGGCAACGAAATGAACATTTGTCTGATACATTGTTTATCTAATGACGTATTCTGATCCCTCCGTTCTAAAATAGATATTTACTATTAAAGTCTCTCGATAACTTTTGTTTGTTCATATCTTTTTATTAATAATTTCATAAAATAAAATATTTTTATTACCTCTTGTTTTATATAACTTTTTTATACTTTTAAAGAGCACGTGTAATTTAATTTACTCCGTATATTTTTATTTCTATATCGGTTTGTAATTAAAATGAATTTAAAAGTGACAAAATTTTGCATATGTCCAGAATGTGACATCTATTTTATATGAGATGGAGGGAATATTATATTTTGAGTAGTATTTTCATGATCCTAAGGCTCATGTATCAAATAAGGCTCATGTATCAAATGTGAATCTTCTAATACTTTTAGTAGACCGACATAGACATAAAATGAGAGTGAATTCCTAAGAACACGAAAGCATTTGTCTTATTTTTTTTAATGTAAACAAGTAAAAGTATAGTTTTTAGTATTATTAACTTTGTTACATTGTTGATACTTTTTTGATCTAATGACGTATAAAGAGTCAATGCTTTTATAAATACTCTGTATATTTTTAGAAAAATATTTATACGAAGAAATATAGATATCAATGAACGAATGAGAATTTACTTTTAAAAAAGAACTCATGTATGACTAGGGGTGTTCATCGGTCTAAAACCGGACCGGACCGGACCGAACCGGACCGGACCAAAAACCGAACTATGCTAAAACCTAGACCGAAGACCGGACCTAAATGTAGTCGGTTTTGGACCGGACCGACCCGAAATCTTATGGACCGAACCGGTCCAGACCGAAAAGACCGAATCTAAGTGTGGTCGGAATTGAAACTTTCCCCACCGGCAAAACCCTAGGTGTGGAAAATTGGGGGTTTTGCAATCCCGAACCAAATTCTCCAATTGAGGAGTTAGGGTGGGCCGTAAAGATGTCAGGAAGATTCCTGGGTGGGTGCGCGACGTCGAATTTGCCGGAGGTTGCCGGAATCTGCAAATACTCACCGGAAACCGCCGTGACGGATGGTAACTGATTCCCAGCGATTCCGGCGTCCAAATCCCACGATGCTGGTGGCGATGGGGTCGTATGGACCTCAGGAGGCAATTGGGAGTGGTGGGGAGGCTCGCCGCTGCGTGTGGTGGCCAGAGCAGGTTGGGCAGCGACATGGACGGCGGATTTCCGGACAGTCAGCGACTTCCGGACGGTCAGCGATTTGCGCCTCTAGAGTCACAGCCGATTGCCGATTCGATTGGAGAATAGAGATGCGGTGGAGGATTTTTGGGAAAGTGGAAGGGGAGGAATAGAAAGGACGGTGGTGGAGTGATGGTTCTGGTCTAGGTCTTTTACGGATACTACGGGTACTTCTTAAGGTCTCGGTCTTTTAGGTCCGGACCGAATGATGATCGGGTTTGGACCGGACCGGACCGAAACCCGAAATTCTAAAATTGGTGGACCGAAAACCGACCCGAAATCCAATCGGTCCGGGTTCGGTCTGGACCTATCGGTCCGGTTCGGTCGGTTTTTTCGGTCTGGACCTAAACATGAACATCCCTATTTATGACACATAATTAAACATACGGATAGTGTAATCCTAAGTGTGAATATTCCATAATTATCACGAACTTATGAAAAATTAAAGACTATCAATAATTAATATTTGGTCAACCATGCCTTAAAGCACCTGCCTCAGCTTAGAATGTTCAACAACCATTAAACATTTAAGCTTAGTTTCTAGTCTTAAGTGTTTTTGAAAAGTTTATTGAAAATGTTTTTTTAAACCTAGGAAAAATGTACTATGGCATGTACAGAATGGGTATATTCTACCGTGGACTTAAGGTCTATCATGAACTTATACATGAGAAAAATAAGTATTTCTTTACTACTTAAATATGAATTTGTTTTTTTAAATAAAAAAAATTATGTGATAAAGTTCACAAAAATAATATGCATCCAAGGTGCACCAAAGAAACGCTCCACAAAATGTACCATATACGATGAAACAAAGATCAATTATTCTTATTTCTCATATTAAGAGTCATTCTCAACGAAATCAGACTCTATATATGTATAGATTTTCATTCAAATGAGAATATTTGTATCATGATAAAAATATGAATGCTGATAGAATTTGGGATGGGTATGGACAACTTGATTGGGTAATAAGACACTTGGGTCGAACCACATTAAAAGATTGAATCCAATCGATTAGTTAGTTTAACTCAAGAGCTTATATATCGAATTATTTTACTCTTGGAATTCCGATGTGGGATGCACTCTAACACTCCCCCTCAAGTGGACAACCGGGCCATTTTGAATCTAACCGGTTGACCATTTGCAAATGGACTCCCATCCCCTTGATTTTTTTTTGAGCGCCAACACCTAAAGGACCACGAGTCGCTGGGTATGGACTTCCAGACGTGCAATCGGGTTAAACGGGCCACAGGCCGTTGGGTACATACTCCATACGGACAACTGGGCTAAAGACTAACGGGCCGCTAGGAATGAACGTCTAGACGGACACCTTGACAAACGAGGTGGGCCAAAACCTGNCTCCCCCTCAAGTGGACAACCGGGCCATTTTGAATCTAACCGGTTGACCATTTGCAAATGGACTCCCATCCCCTTGATTTTTTTTTGAGCGCCAACACCTAAAGGACCACGAGTCGCTGGGTATGGACTTCCAGACGTGCAATCGGGTTAAACGGGCCACAGGCCGTTGGGTACATACTCCATACGGACAACTGGGCTAAAGACTAACGGGCCGCTAGGAATGAACGTCTAGACGGACACCTTGACAAACGAGGTGGGCCAAAACCTGACTCCGATACCATGATAGAATTTGGGATGGGTATGGACAACTTGATTGTGTAATAAGACACTTGGGTCGAACCACATTAAAAGATTGAATCCAATCGATTAGTTAGTTTAACTCAAGAGCTTATATATCGGATTATTTTACTCTTGGAATTCCGATGTGGGATGCACTCTAACAAATGCATATAATCCATTGAATTTATTATCTAAAGGCCGCGAATAAATAGAAATAAGAAAATGCTTTGAAAAAATATGGTGGCATATTAGTAGATAAGTCAAACTTCTCTATCATTCTTAAAATGTATTACTCGGTTTCGTCCATCTTAAGTTGTATATTTATTATTCACATGTCAAATTTTAATCACGTTATTTACTCATATATATAGTTTTTAAATATATAAATTTTCACTTCTTACTTTTACGGCCGGACCATATATAATATGACTCGTTCACAAACCACAATCCAAAGATAACGAGCCTTTAGTATGTACAACAGTGTGACAGATTCTTTTGGGGAGTTTTATTATTGCGCCATTGGTCAATGGATAGATATTATCTTTTCGTATCCAATGTGAATATATGCTAATGTCATAAGTAAGTTTAAAACAAATTCAAAAATGGCAAAAAGAAATGTCACAATGCGAAAATAATGTTATTGCCGATTCTTCAGGTATTGCGGTACTAAATATAACGTTAAATTTGTTGCATGATCAAATGTCAAAATACAATACAATGTTAATTGCCACAAAGTTAAAACATGACAAATTATTTCGGAACCGAAATAGTATTTGTATATGGAAAAAAATTATCTCCTGTTTTATGAAATTTTTTTGTACTCTCTCCGTCCTAAATTAATGCTCACACTTTAACTTTCTAAGAAGGTTAAAAATATGAAATTGTGTTATTGAAAGCGGTGTAGAGAAGGGAAAAATAGGTGAAAAAGCTTTCTAATATAGTTTTTTAATATATAAAGTTTTTTAAAATTTTGATCCAATTTCATAATATATTACATTAAGAATAACTTCAGTTAAACACTTTAAACCAAAACAAGCGATTTAAATTAGGACGGGAGAGTATCAATCTGGAGATTTTTACATCTTCACCAACCGCTTGTCATCCACCCCCGCCAACCGGCCACCACCATCATCTCTCTTCTTATCACTAATAGCAATATCTGATTTTATCTTTCCAAATATTTTCATTTTATATTTCAAAATTCATATCACATCAATATTATTTTGATAACCAAACGGACCCTATTTATTTATCTCATTTTCATGTTGCTCTAAACTCATTCGTCTTACGAAAGGTGTTGCAAAATAAGAGTATATTTTTAAGAGTCATGCTACAAAATACAAAACTTGATATCAAAGTTTTATATCCATCATTATTTAGGTCGTACTGAAAATGATTGTAGTGTTGCTAAAGTCAAGGCTCATGGGATTTAGAGATTTCATTCGGACCCTTTTTAATTTAGAAGATTACTTTAAACTATTCACGATTTTCTAGAACTAAAACTCAAGTCGCACATTACCTGATTCGGGGTACCATTAATTTTTTAGTAATAAGTCTCTGATACCATATTATCCGAAATATACTTAAGGAGTCTTTAAAATTAGTGATAATGTACTTCAAAAGTACATCATCCGAAATATACTTAGGATAATCGAAAATTATGTCTATTTGGCCATAATCGAAACTTAGTGATAATCTACTTTAAAATTAGTGATAATGTACTTCAAAAGTACATTATCCGAAATATACTTAGGGAGTCTTTAAAATTAGTCTCTGATTAAAAGTTCCAGTACTTCAACAAATACTAAATTTTGCTTTGATAATTATCATTTTATTAAATTTAAATAAAATTCTTCTATTTGTCAAATAAAAGAACTTTCAATCTTAACGCTTAAATGGATGGAATGAGCCATCGAAGTATAATATCATAAACTTTAAAGACTCCGGGTATATTTTGAACAATGTAGGACTTGAGAGTTCTTAACAGAAAATCAAAGGTAACCCGGGATATATTTCAGATAATGTGGAACCAGAGAATTATAACTAGAAAATCGAGAATACCCCGGAGTTATTTTTTCTTTTTAATTTGGCTAAGCTTGGTTTGGATGCTGCTCTCAAAACTTGTGCTGTTGCTATTATACACCCAAATTGTACCTTAAACCATTTAACATACTACTCTTGGTCCAGATTTATATCCCATTTGATTATTTCTGAGCACAATATGTAAAAAATTTAATTCAAAATTCACCATTCACACTCTGATATGAACGATGTATATCCAAGTGACAATATCATTTTAAGTAAAATCCAAGTGAGTAAATTAATCTGGGACGGATGACACAACTTTTTCATCAAAATTTAATAGAAACTAATTTCAAAACAGCAAAAAAATGAAGCAGCAGTGTATTTAATATCTACCGAATGCAAATTTACAGGATTATCACTATGTATATATGTATAAAAAATGGGAACTAAACAATTAGAAGAAAAGAACTTAGTTTGGTAACCCTGGATTTTGACTGCACTGGGTGAACCTCCTAATAAGCACATAGAACAAAAACTACTTTTAAACTAAGTAAAATATATATGCAACACATATGAATGACACTTTGTATAGGCACCTATATCATTTAAACTTTCAACACAATCAACTAATTGAGTCAACTTCAACTTCACACTAAAAGGAGATGGACCTAGGTTGGTATTAGAGCCAGTATTTGGGTTCTTACTATTCCCATGCACTTTTCTATTTCAGCATAGAGTGGAAGGTTGTGAGAAGAGGTGGGTTGCAAGCTAACAACAGCAGAATCCAGTATTTTTGCCACGTCTGCTGGAGGAAATTGTCGTTCCGTGCACTTCTGAAGAATGATTAAGAAAAACATTATAAAAGAAAGTCATACCAAAGTCCGTGAGGCTCCCATTCTAAGTCCAAGTTAGATCCAAGGCTTGTTACTTATTTAGTTTGAATGGGTGAATCTCGTGGAAGGAATAGCTTTTGGTAACACTCATTCAACCAAATAAGTGTCAAAGCTAGCTACTTATTCTAACTAGTTTGATTATTAGTTTGCTTATTTAGTTGATAGGCAGGAAAAAAATCGATTATGGCTACCAAACAGAACCCAAGGTTACAGAACCTTCAGATGCAAAAATCCATCGCTTGAAATAATAACTACAGACCAGATAGTGTGTTTTACCTGAATCATAAGGAGAGTAGCAACACATTGGGTGATAAGTTCTGAAGGAATGTCTGCCTCATTCCCATTATTCAGTAATTTAGAATCTTGTATCTACAACAAATTTGCCGCAGGTTAGCATTTATTATAAGCACTAGGAGCACAAGCGTCCAATGTGGAGGGGAGGGTCTGTTTGAATGAAGAGCTTTTGGTGGGGAAAGTTTTGGATGACTGTATATCTTGATATATATTTGACATTTTGTACAAATTGAAAGATTAACATTATATGTGATTGGGGAACATTTCAATAGCCTTTTATTCAATTAAAAAAAATCCACTACATATTTAGTAAGATATATATTAAGCCTTCCATACTCATCTGAACCCCTTCATCCAAATTCCAAACAGACCTTACGTAAACCAAAAGAGTGATGTATCTTACGGTAAGCAAGCATGATTCATCTGTCGGTATCCGGTCGTTGAGATAATCTATAGCAGCTTCAACATCCCCTGTTCCGTTCTCCATTCCGTTAAGTAATGACAGGGCCTATTGATTAAGAAAATCCTTCATGAGTATATTGAGAAAACAATAATGAAAACGGCATATTCCACAATCACAAATTTTTATGTGTACCTGCACAGCAGCATCTACCATAGTTCTGGCTTTTATTTTTGAACTCTCAATGATCTCATTGATGTGAAACTGAGGTTCCTGGATTTGAGATGTACAGTAGCCAAATGTGCTCAATAAATCACCCCCAGCATCACCAAAATTAGCAACTGGTCTTGACTGCAAACTAAGAGACACATTCCCCTGGTGCGTGTTCCTCTGTCTCAAGCAACACAAACTAGAAGAAACCTGTCAAAACCATTTAAAGACTTGGTTGGATTGCACAGTGGCAAGAAATCCCAACCATGTACTTGACTGAAATGAAGTGAAAGTAGCATCAATCAATGTTGTTATTTGTTGACTGTTTGTTACGGTGGCATTCAAAAGAAATTAGGGGAAAGATAGACATAAAGAAGTTTAAATTGTTTATAAAGGGAGAAAATTTGAAGAAGAAAGAAATTCCAAGGCTGGACCCACACAAAAAACTTCTCTTTGAAAGAAGAGATTTGTAGGAGAGATGGGGCAAAATTATGGGACCATTAGCAAATGTACGGCATAACCTTTTTACCTACCTGCATAAAGTACGTACAAATATGTCTTTTTAGGAAAATATAATTTTCTTTCTATTCACTTTTCTATCTAACCAAACAGATGAAGAGAACAGCAGCTTTTATATCTCTTATATCTCTACCCGAATTTCCATCCAAACGACCAAAATAATCCACTCATTTTCTCCTCTCCCACTTATTTCCACTATGCTTCTTTCTTCTCTACATGTACAATCCAACTATTCAAGCATAAAAGTGGCAAGCATACTTTGCATAAGTCAAGGCCCTACCACCTACGCCTATGCAGGGATGTTTACGACAATAGGTTATAGTAACATGCCTGCTCATTTACTTCATTTAACTGAATGATTATGGAAGCATATTGCTTTCTGAATGGGTCTGAATCATTGAGGGTGCAGTCACCACTCCTTTGATTTTCCAAAACATCGTCATTCATCTGCCTCAGCTCATAAATCACAGCATCCTGAATGTTCAAGCAAAGCTCATCATGAGCTCATTTTAAATAAATACCTAAAAATATAAGTAATAAATCTCATAAACGTGACCCCCTTTTATGCAGCAGATGGGCAACATTTTTTAAAAAGTTTTTAAAAAACCTTTTTGTCAAGAGCACGAGTCAGCTTAGCTAAAGCTTGAACATCAGCTTCCTTAGCTCGGTTCTGCTCCACTGTACTGCATCGAGAATTTGCTGCCTGCTGAAAAGTGTCACATGACCTAATTTTAGTATGCACATCACTGTCTGCTCCATCCACCTAGTATACAGGGTTGAACCGATCTAGTTGTTCTTGATGACAGGAGGGAAGCCAAATATTTATTGTCATAGGGACAGCATGGTTTTAAGGTTTTGGATGGAAGTCCTTGGAGGGCTTAGTCTGTAACTTGATCAATAAAATACTTCTAAAATGAAGGGTGATTGAAATGTGAAATGCCATTTGATCCTTTTATTATGTTATTATGTTCAATTTTATAAGATCTCAAATACATACTCCATCCGTCCCAAAATGAAGTTTGCACTTTCCTTTTTGGGATGTACCAAAATACATACTTCCTGGTTTCCTAATTAAAGAATATGTGGCTCACAACATTTATGTCTCTTCTAAACAAGTTTCAACCACAAATGCTTTTACTTTTTTACACTTTTCTTACACTCGGCGAAGTCAAAGTGTAAACTTTAATTTGGGATGGAGGGAATATCAAAATATAGACTTAGCCATCCAAACCCCTCCATCCAAATTGGCTCTTGAGCCAAATGAATAAAACAATGAATGTCTCTTTTAAAAAAAAACAATTAGGTAATGTTTGGGATACCAAACTAGAATTCATTTGAAGTCTTAGATTTCAATTCCAATATTTGAAATCCCATGATTTCAAATTCCAAATGTTGTTTGGAAAACCATAGAATTTCAATTCTAGAATTTGAATTTTGAAGTCGGTAAAGATAGAGACAAAAATGGGTCGATATGTATGGAATTGTTGTTACATAAGGGAAGATGACTTTTTTTATTGTAAGTTGTAAACTAAAGGTTAAGCTGGGAAATGTAAATGACAGGGGGAGGTGTGGATTTGTAATTGAGATTGTTTTGAATTAGAAGAATTTGGTCCAAATCCAAATCTTAATTCTTTGAATTCCAAAACAAATAATTTGAATCGAATCCGGATTTAAAATCCAAATTCAAGTTCCCAAACATACCATTAAAAAAATGAAATGCTACTGACCTCTAATTCCAGCAATAGATCTTTTTTCGCACAGGTTGATGAAGGCAAACAAGGGAAACCATTGTCATTCTTCATATTCAAAATGTCATTAACCTTGTGCTCTAAAAAGTTATCCCGTATCTTGTCCATAGCTTGTCTGTCCCTGCTGAGCTGTGTAGGCATGTTCTCATAGGGATTTAGAGGCATGCATTCAATATCCTGTCAAAGCATGAAGAAATGAAATACGTATAAAAACTATAACTCTTACAACACAGATAGTGAAAATAATTTCAAATTGCAATGGAATCTATGTAAGGACGTTCAGTGAATTAGCATTATTTCACCCCAACCCCCAAAAACAAAGCTCATGTAGCTAAAGCAAGAATCAGTTGGTATTGCTGGACGTGAGATGATAATTACTTTAAAAATCACATGATATTACTTGAAAGTGGAGTTGTATTTACATTATAAAATGAACACTAGATTGTTGAAAATACTATAGTAACTAACATTATAGTGATGAATATCCATTGAGGTTGTGCTAATATCTTTCCAATCCAAATAGAATGAAATATTGTGCAGGATATGTGTAACACGTCAAAGAACAACATTTTATGTAAAGGAAGTGCACATATAATGATAGAGATTCATTATATAGAAATAGATACACTGAATATTAGTGCATTAAAATGTATGAATACAATGTCACCACTGTTATAAGAAAAAACTAAATCCTGCCCAGTGCAGACTGCAAAAAATGAAACTTCCAGTCCTCCACCATTATATTTTCATATTAGGGTGAAAGTTTTAAAATATGATGTATTTGAAATGGTATAATAATCACTTCATTCTTTCTCACATAAAACTAGACTAATGAATACAACCTACATTTAAAGCTAGCTTGTTTATTTCAAAAAAGAAACTCCCCCATCCCAATATTAGTGTCCACTTTGACTGGGCACCGAGTTTAAGAACGTGAGGAAAAGTGAACATTGTGGTCGAAATATATTTGGAAGAGAGAAATAATGTAAACCACATATTCCTTTCCTTCAAAGGAAATGTGTGTTTGTTTTTGGACGGATTTAAAAGGAAACTGTGGAATTTATTTTGGGGTTGATGGAGTAATAAGTTTCAATATGTTAAAAAGATCATATAAAGCAATTTGTGTGTATTAACATATATGCATACACGCGTACATACTTCTGCACGCCCACACACCCACGCACTCTAACATAGAAGACAAGTTACAACAAGATTCTAATGTTATCAACTTATCATTGGTAGATCTATGACCTTGACAATTTCAACTCCAAGCTCAGGCCGGTCAAACTGAACCCGGCACCTAGAATGATCAACTGTGAGCACACTTCCATCATATATTTCTCTTGTTTTAGGGTGGATGGCAATGACACGTTGTCCAACAGACAATGGCCTTGCAAGATCAGTCGGCAATCCTTCCCTAAGACCCTCACGTAGATCAGTGTAATGTGTTCTAACAAACTCACGGTATTGGTAAAGCTTCTCCTTTTCCTCCTTCAAAAATTGTTCAGAAAATCGCCGTGGTTTACCGAGAGAACTGCAACAAGACCTAAAGCTTAAAATACTAATCCACAGTTCAGAATAATTTGTATTTCACTTTTCTGCAGTAAATTTCAAATACCTTCTTATCACATCCCATTCAACACGAGTTAGCCTGGGAACATGTCCCAATCCAACATGATCCAAGTACTCAACAAACTCCCTTTTAGCAAACCAAGGATAATCAATTGCGCTGTAGAACCACTCACTTATACACCATCGCCGTAAAAGATGGTTATAAAGGCAACTAGAAAGCTTTTTCTGCAAGCCATGTTGCAAACAAAGCACACAAGGTTACATAATGCATACACAAACCATATGTCAAAGTTAAGAGGGAACAACTAGGAAAGTAAGAATAAGTTTTAGCAAACCTTAATGTTGACCACTTTGTCATTGACTGTAACAGAGGGCTGGCTGCAGTTGTTATCCAACATGCTATCAGGAAAAGATGGATTTTTTTCTCTTAGTGATTTCTTGATCCCTGTCTTATGCCTACTAGTAATTTTATCAGGCAAAGTGACCTGGTTTGCTAAAGGAACTTCTGCAGTCATTTGAGCTGGATCACTTCCCTCTATTCTTATATCTGGACTTGAGGAATGATCTTGGTTCATAATCAATTTAGGTGATAAACTCTGCAAAGATCTTTTACCCTTTCTGACTGGCTCCTTCGGTGAATCGTTTGTCTACAAAAAAAACAGCATTATGTCAAATTGGTGTTTGGAACAGGAGAAATAGCCAATCTAATAGGAATAGAAATCGAAATCTGTTGCATCAATCTCAAATACAAGAAATGACCATTCAAATATAATATAGAAGCAACATCTATATACAATCTTATTCAGCTACCAATTTTAGCCAAACATAAATTCAATGAAATCTTTTTTTTTGAATGCTATTGACTCTATTACAAGGTAGTATCTGTTCATACTATTCTCAAGCTAATGACGCACAAAGAGCCAATGCTGCTGCCTTCGCTGGAGCTCGAACCTGGGTGAACTTCCCCATGAATCCTGGGGAGTGGACTTGCTACCACTCAAGCCAGGGGAGAAGTTCCAATGAAATCTAGTTTGGTATCAAATATCAATAATCTTTAATGAATTAAAAGAAATTAATAAAATACAACTAAACCTAGTTCTTTAAGTTCCCAATCGAAGCCTAAATTCCTCTTTTGGATTTTTTAATTTCTGCGCATATCCAAATAAATAACTTACATACCTCGCATATGAGCTGCCATCATCTCAGTAAGGTGTTTAAATCAAAACTGGTCCATATTGAAACTTAGAAATCATAAATCTTTAAAGAAAAACTGGAGCTTAATGAGAACTAAATCTCATTCCATCATCTCCAATGGAGCCAAAAATTCACTTCTTTTTTTGGCTTTGGGGTATGATGGAATAAAGCAAAATGACTCTTTAAACTATTTGAGCTTCTTTTATAGTGAAGTAGCACTTAGTCAATGCAACTCTCAACACTCATCATGAGTCATCCAAAAATAGTCACTCTATGTTTTAAACATAGAGGCCAGATTGAGTACAAGTGTACAACCGACCACCCTTACCCCGCAATAGGCGGGAACCTCTGAGGCACTGGAGTAATGTTTTTGCTGGTTGTTGTTGTTGTTGTAATGAGAGCTAAATCCTTTCACATGCTAGTATGCTACATGTCTTTCACAAAACAAAACAAATAAAAACAAAAAAAAACCTTAATATGATATCTCAGACTCACTATGATCACCTTTAACATTAATACTCCATTTGTCCTATAATTATCTTCCTACTTTCCTATTTGGGTTGTCCCAAAATTATCTTCCTTTTTCCTTTTAAAGAAAAATTGAGTGATCTATCATTTCTCTTTCCTCTACACAAACCACAACCACACAAATTTCACTTTATTAAAAATGTGCCAAGTTAAACCAAGAAGAAAATTATGGGAAGGAGGAGAGAGTAAAAATTAAGAAAAATCAGGGTATATCTAAAGTCAACAAAAGAAAAGCAGACTTACGTCAAGCTCTTGAGGTTCAGAGAGATCATTACTGAGATGGACATCATCTTTCCGTCCCTGAATGGAATGCCTAAAATTTGTTACTTGTTCTGAAATAGAAAGTATTGATTAAGCTGAAGGTATCAGCTTTACCTTAGATGTTGATATGCTTTCTGTTTTTCTCGTCTGCTTTGTTTCAGGAACAACACTAGCATCAGCTGAAGCTTTAACACGCTTTGACATTGTACTAGATGCAACCTCAAGTCCTGAAATGGGCCGCTTCCATTTAGCTTTAACTCCAGGCGTTCTGCGCTTCTTCTTTTGGTGGTTTGTAGGCAGAACTTCCACAGTCCCAGATTCCTCAATGTAAGAATTTTCATCTTTGGTTTGCATAATTAACTCTGAGGGAAACAAAGAGAAGAAGTAGAGTTGGACTAGGATTACGGTTGTAGGCACACCAAAAAAGTTGAAGATATATGGAAATATGATTTCAAATAAAAACCAAGTACAAAGCAAAGTTAAGCATGCTATTGAGAATTGTGTTTTGCAGATTAAATCTTAGAGGACTAAAAATCAAAGCCGCGCTTTATATTTTTCTCATCTAAACATGAAGAACAACAACAACGACAACAACCCAGTTTAATCCTACAAAAGTAGGGTCTGGGGAGGGCGTGTGTACGCAGACCTTACCCCTACTCGAAAGTAGAGAGGCTGTTTCCATAGAGACCCCCGGCTCACGCATAATAGGTAATCAATGTTTAACCTTTAAACATAGAGCAGCTGTATCTGGATAACCCATGATGAGGGAGGCTTAAACAAGAAGAATGAGGCTTAAAAACTTCAGGAAGAATTGATCTTCCACACAGGAGCTACACCACTACAGGATCCAAAATGTGATGTTTTAAAGAAAATGAGGTTTTCAGTGAACATCACCTATCATCCTGTTAATGACACTGATGGGCAATCCATACTATGATTAGAGCTGGTTTATTCTAGCAGTAGAAATTGCAAAATACAACTCTTTACAGAAAGATTTCTTACAGGGCTTGAGCCTACAACTTATTCAATTATAATGTGGTGAACCATTTTGAACAAAAATTGCAATACATTATTACCATACACTATACTTGAGAAGAAATTTTTTTTTAATATCACACACCCTCGGAAATAATCTCTCTACCTTTATAGGTGGATAAGGTCTGCATACATTCACCCTCCTCAGACCCCACCTGTGGGTCCTTACTGGCTTGTTGTTGATAGTCACTTGAGAAGCAAATACATTTTGAATGTGTCATGCAACTAAGTCAAATCAACTTAACCCAAGAAACGTATGAAACTTAACCCAAAAAAATCTTTTAAAATCATTTTTAATAAATGCAGGTATCAATATCCTTGAAGTCTGAAGAAAATTGTTAGAGCTAAAGATTGCAATAACAGAGAGCAAGACAAGGTTCTCAAGTTATAAATCGTAAGTGTGCACATAGAACAATGAACTGAAAAGGGAAGTGGTGTTTATCCTTAACTCCTTACCATTCTCATTTTCTGTTGCTGGCATCATCAGTGATAGATCAGCCAAAGTTTGTAGAGCATCGAAGGCAGAGCTTTCATCTATATAGAAAGATAACACATAACAGTTAACTTTGGCAAGAAGTATTTAAATAAAATGTAACACATAAGAAATTTTGTGATTGCACAAAAAGACAAAAACTTCTTTTGAACAAAAGCATTCGAGGAAACTGCAATACCTCTCTGAAAAGGAACCTTTTTGCTCCTCTTTCGGAGACCAAGAGATGAAGCCCTTGACACTCTTTCATCAGTAAACTCTATGTCATGTTCTGCTTTTACTGCACCTAATCTATAACCTTCTTCTGTACCACTGCATGCTTCCTTGATGTCATCAAAGTTACTGTCAGCATTGACATCATTTTCTAACTTTTTCCCAGAGAGCTTTCTCCCCTTTGGAATTGTTCTGCTAGTTTCCCTCAAAGAAGTCACGTGCCTGTGTAGTTCTCCTGTGTCGGCTTCCATGCTTCCTTCATCATCATCCATTTCACATGTAGGAAGAGTAGAAATGACCATTTCCAGATTGCTATGCTGTTTAGAAGTCAAATGAAGTAAATCTTGAGACTACATGACAGGAAAAAGGTAAAGAACTTTAGGTGGAAATTGAAATGTTACCTTCCTTTCCGCTTTTTGAGTTGGAGTGGATAACGCACTATCAGATTGACGGGTAGGTGTCCGAGAAATCTGGGGAGAACTGCCTCTTCTTGAAGCTTCGGCTAAAGCTATAGCTATCTCATGAGCAACTTCATCGTCATTTGCATCTATTGTCCTTTTGGGGCCATTTTCATAAGAATATGGTACAGGAAACCGTGGTGTCCTTTTTCCAACAGCACGAGGACGTGTCCCTAAAAGAAGATTTCCCAAAATCATCATCAAGAAATCAAGAATAACAGCCCAGTATGGTTCCATTAATTAAAGATGGCAAATACAAAAACAGTCAAGGTGCAATCCATGAATCCATCAAAATTGCATGCATATGCAAAACATTAAAAAAATTGCACCACAAAGCGGCCATAAAATGATAACTGAACTTTTTTTGAAGTTCCCAAAGGAAAGGAGGCACGCACCTCCTGAGCGTTTCTTCTTCAATAAAGACAAACAACCATAATTTGATGCTGGAGTAGGGGACTGAAAATCGGACCCTTTGGATGTGCCCGCATGAACTTTACCTCGGGCACGCTTTTGAGGCTTTTGAGATGTTCCTGCACCATCATTGCTTTCTTGTTCACTATCACTTGCAGCCTGTCATTTACACACCAATAACTCAATTGCACAAGTGAAAACTAATTATGCCTCTTAATTCTTAAAAACCTAAATGCTCTAACCAGAAAGCCAACCAAAAAAATGCTACCTCTTTCTCATTCATAAAGAGGTGAATTACATGTGGAAATTATATTTCTAGACTTTTAGTAATTAAGTCAACTCAAAGCTGCGGAAAGATAGTTCACATCAAGCACTATGAACAACACAAAGGTTAAAATAGTTAAAATTGAGGTTGAGACTTATGCTGCAATTGAGGGAGAAAGAGGAACAACAAATTGGGACAGACAAAAAAAATGAAAACTGGCAAAAGATATTGGGACAGAGGGAGTACTTAATAGTTGATAAATAAAAATTTTGTAGATAAAATGGAACGGGCGTGTTGGGGGTACACAAAAACAGGTCTCATCAGATTCTATGACATTTAGTACCAAAATACTTGGAAATTCAGTATGTCCTGAACTAGTATCTCACCATGTTGCAGTAGTGATCGGTCATCATTGCAATCAACCCAACAACAGAAGCAGTCCCCTCTGGAAGAGATAAGTAAGCCTGAAAAAGTGTGTAATGAAAAGACTAATATATATCCCTACTCTTTCTTTAATATTTCAGAAGTAATTAAAGACTGCAGCTACAGCCTAAAGTACAACAGCATATTGGCTGATAAAACTTCAAAATGAAATATCATAGTGGTCTTTCAAGCTAAAATATAACCATCCATTAGTTTATGATGATTTATTAAATACTCTGTACAAAATTTCAGATCTTTATAAGCATTAGAGAAAGAGTATTTTAATTATTTTTTTTTTAATTATAATTGATTTTCTACTAAAATCCAGAAATGTCATGGCAGACCTCAATAAGCCCTAGTAATTTTTCCATTAAAATAAGGAGATTTCTTCATCCTATGATGTTTGTGGTTTTATATTGCACTAAGGCAGAGGGTGTCCCCATGATATGTCATATGGGGTTCAGCTAACATTATGTTAATCTTCTGAAGGTGTTCCCTTCTCATCATTGTAGTAGCTCATGCGCGATAGTGGCAATGTAAATCACAATAATACAACCATAACAGAACAGACCCATATGGCCACATGCTTGAAGCTAGTACATTTTTTAAGGGAGAAGGGTCGGATTACATTCAATAATCATTATATCTGCTAACAAGTATTAAAAGACCATATGAATAAATAAAAACCATTATTTATCACATTGAAAGATATGATCACATTTACCATATTCATAGAGTAAAGGGCCTCCACCATATCAACTGATCGATTTCTCACAGCAGCAGCCACCTACAATGCACAAAAAATAACAATCCATTGAAACAGTCACAATTTAAACCATTGAACATGACTTTTATTTTGTGTGTGTGATAGAGAGAGACAACAGTGATTAATAACTAAGCTCATGCGTAGTTCAAGTGTTAAAATTAATTTTTACACCTGCAAAAACTGAACATTATTTTGGTCCATTATATATTGTACCTCCTGCGTCCCGCCGTTTGTCTATTTTTTAAAATACCATTTTTGTTTGTCCAACTATCTTTGTCTTGTTCCACATGTGCCATATTCGTGTGGTTCAAAATCGTTCCTACTTTATAAACACTTTATATATTCAGCAGCAGTCAGTCAGCCACACAAATCCACTTTTTCTTAAAATGTGTGTCCTTGTGTCCCAAAGATAATGGGACGAAGGGAGTTGTGAAGATTTACAAGTAAAACAAAATTTACAACCAAGACTCATATTGAGAACCCTAACCTTTTTCCAATCTTTACCGTGTTTCCGGTATGCATCATAGAAACGATTAAGCTCCTCTTTACTCCACTGAGGGCCTAGCATAGACATCTTCCTTTTCTGCAATTGAATCAGAAATGAGTACCAATACAAAAAAAATTGAAGTTAATTATGTATTGGTAATATTTACGGAGTATATAACAGCGCACATATCTACATGTTTGTGGGCGCGCAAATCCTCTCAAAACATAAGTTAGGTGGGGGCACCAATTTTACAGACATATTCACTCAAATTTCAGCAGAGATTGCAAAAACATTTGAAATCTAGGTCTATATTTTATCATCCAAGTACAATAAAACCATAGTGATGAACCCCCATTTCGGTGTGCACCTCTCTGTTCTAAAAAAGGAAAAAATTTGAATGCAATCATAGAATAACTGTGATTTTAAATTATATACTCGAAAAATATTAATATATAGAATATATGTAGTATATATATAAGCTGATGAGTTCTAATAGAAGAAAAAAGGTCATCTGCATATGGAAAAAGAAAGTAGAAGCAGAATTCACCCGTTGACTGCTTCTTTTAGAGCCACCTCCATCTTTGTTAGGGGACGCTTCATTTACATAAGAATATCGTTTGTTTACACTCCTAGATTTTCTTGCAGGAGACATTTGAAATCCTGAAAGCATACAGGAAACAAAAGGTTAATTATAACATATATGAGTTATGAGATTGCCAGTAATACTTTTTGCATGCTTTTATAGAGTTAATTAGTTTATAAAATTAATTGTCTCTATAGATTTAATGTCACCTCCAACTAGTTAAGATAAAGATGCTGATAATGACACTCAGACGAGGAGTTCAAAGATGGATTTAAACTAACAAATGCACACACACACACGCACGCACACACACCCAAGTAAATGCATTGAACAAGATTGGTATGCTGTCTTGATCGAATGACCTCGTTATAAACTGTTTCCATATTAGAACATAATTTCCAGTAGTGGAACCACCTTCAGATGAACACGCCAAAAAATTCACAGTTGCAGTAATGCAGATGTGTGCATTACTGTAACACACACAAATAGCTGATTTCACACAAATGGTGTATGTTGTTACTTAATAGGCGTGAATATCTGTCACCCAAAAATAAGAAATGGGAGGGGGGAACCTCCTGAACTTTAACATTTTGCAAATGTTGAATCTAGCTTTCATATGAGAAGCTATTAACAGTAGCATCCGGCGAGTTTGCACCACTATTATTCAAATGTTAACCCTACAATTCAATCTACACTACCCATTGTTCAATCGAATGATATAAAATGTGGACCTCGTTGAGCTAGAAGGCCCCAAATCCTTCAACTCCACGGAAAAAGGTGTAATAAAACAAACTCGGGCAACCATTAAATATCCATATGACCGAAATATGACACCAACCCACTAGCTCGATAATCACAGTGTAAAAATAAGACCATCTAAAAATACAATCAATCTATGCATAGTTTCGTACTCTGACACCTGAAAGGCTTTAATCAATCAAAAACCAGAAAACCATTAAAAAAGAACACGATAATTTTGACCGGAACCAAAACCCCGATCTGAGAATGATCGCTAAAAACAAAACCTCAAAACAAGATTTTAATTGGGGTTTTAAACCAGGATTTCGTGCTTTTAGTTGAGTTAGAATTCCCAAAATACAAGAGATGCTAAAATCCCGAGCTAGAAGAGAGAGTGAGATATCATTGATTTACCGGATCAAAATTCCACTGGGAGTGGATTTCTTCTCAATCGGATTCAGATGCTACGAAATGATACGAAAATCGAGCAGAGAATCAGAGGCTCGGAGCTCTGATACGATTGGAGAAAACAGGACAGCGATGACTACTGGAAATTGTGGGAAGGAGGAAGCTGAGAAGAAGATGAAATCTTGGGGATAGTAACCGCGAAATTCAATTTATTTGTATAGCAGCAGTATTTTGTTTGGTAAATTGTTCCATTTGAATCCATTATATATACTCCTCACCCTCACAAACCATTTCTCAATTTCTTTTTTTTTTTACCAGTTTCGAAAATTTTCCCTGCTTTTTTTTCTTACTTCCTCTTTTTTAAAAAATGTGTATTAAAAAAATCTTTTTAAACACATTCAAACTAAGTATCTTTCATAATTCAATATTTCTTTTAGTATTTTTGAAATCAAACAGATAAACTAATTTACGACTCAAGTAAGAATATATAAAGATACGGAGTAGAAAATATAATATTTTAAAAAATGATCTATATACAAAAAGAGTTTGATATTTTTAACATTCCAATGTCATGACATGACACTAGTCCAATTGAAAGTGATTTCTAACTCAATTTTAACTCCGATCCATGTCATTTCATGCCCTTTCTAATTCAACACCCCAATTTTAGTTGACATTATGATCAAATTTGAGAGCTAAATTTACTTAGAAAAGAATAGATCACAAACTATTAACAGATATTCTCAAAACACTACTTTTCAATTTTATTCAAATCCATAAAAAACATAGTAACATCTAAATATCCTAGCAAAGTACTATGTCGGATTCTTAGACCAAGACCAACCTCACTAGTTCTACTCCAACAATAGTACTCTCGCATTTAAAAAAAATCATAATTTGACTTTACAAGGTTTAAAAAATGCTGAAAAAATAAAAAATTATTTGGTGCTCATTTTTTGGTACTTCAATGTATATTCTGAGTCTTTTTCATTTTTACCATGAGGAAAATGATTTATGTACGTAGTGTGTTGCATTTGTGACACTTTTAGGTATTTTTTGGGTCATTTATATTTTTACAATGAGCAACACGATTTATATGCTTTTTTTAAAAAAATTATTTGTTAAAGAATATTATCATGGAGTACCGAGTACATGCTCATTTTGTTTAAAAGATACTCCGTAAAATAGAAGCCAGAACTTTTGAACATCCCAATGAAGAAAAGGTGATTTTTTTTTAAACAAAGCAAGCATCAAATTATATCATCTTTTTGTACTCCGAATATTTTCCTAATTGATATCATCTCCTTTTACCAAAGAGACCCTAATTACATATTACTCTTGTTCAAAAAATGTACCAACAGCACCAGAGTATATGTCATAAACTACGAGTTCCTTACAATCAAACTATTACTTGACGCCATGTAATTACTTTTCAAATTCCTTCAAAAAAAAATGTTTTCAAATCAAATCAAATTGATAAAAAGTTCACTTTGAAATAAGTAGAGAGTAAATCTTAACACTAATACTTGAGCCTATATTTGGCCAAGTTTACAATGGGTTTAAGTGTTAAATGTCTCAGCAATATTTGGCCTTAAATACGGAGTAATAAAATGAGACAATTCATTCTGGAGAGAGAGAGAGAGAGAGTATGGGGAATGACTTAAAAGGCCTTGTTTGGTTTAAAAAAATGTGGAGGGGAAGGAAGCCGAAACTAGGTGAAGGGAAACCACTCCATCCCTTAACATTTCCTCCCCTCCAAACAAGCCCTAAAGGGGTAATTTGTGATCCCAAAAGGGTTTGAATTAGCTCAGGAAGAGCCAAATTGAATTGGGATTGTCTTTATAGTTGCATTGAATTGTGCTTATGTATGTTTATCAAAATATTTGAAACGATTGATTTATGAGAACGCCAAAGGAGAAATGCCAGATCAAAGGCTCAACACGGAAACGGGATATTAAATACATTGCCTCGTCGTAGCTTAGATCAATAAATTTACAAGTCCCTACTGTTTCGAGGAAAAATGGCCAGCCGCGTCTTAGCTGCATAGAGAAAAGCGACTCAAGTTTACAGTGAATGCTACAATACTAGAAACAAGGACAACTAAGAATAATAAATATAAAAATAAATAAAACAAATATGTCAATTTACATGGCACCTCATTTCGAAGCCTAACACAATAAAAAAGAAGCAGCAGGCAAGCACTGAGGCCAATCGCACAGCTGTGTATACATGAAAGAATTGAGGGATTGGATCGACCGCCAAGGGGCTCGCGCATTGTTGCAGTGGTCAAAGTCAACATTTGTACTTCGCCTATCCAAGCAGGAACCGAAATACATCCGTAAGAGATATGATGCCTTCAACACGCTTGCTTCCCGCCTCCACAATCACAAGCCGTCTCACACCTAATACGGGAAAACATGTTTTATTGTTACTACTACATCAATGACCCTTTGTCCAGTTATATGGGAGTGTTGAAGAGAGTAAAACAGTAAACCTGGTTTTGACAATTTGTCCATCACTTTATGGAGCGGATCGGACCGTAAGCACATGTGACATCTTTCATTACCAACAGTGTATGAAGAGGAAGCATATGGTTCCTCACCAAGCTGCAATGCCTGAAAAATACAATGCATTGTACGTAATATATAATGCTTTGCATTAAAACACAGATTGAATGAGGCAATAGGGACGAGATTCAGGAACAAAAGAAATTTATTGCTCTATTTATTGTGGCGTATCTTACACTTCCTCTGTACCAAATTAATTTGCTCACTTTGACTTGTGTCGAAAAAATGTAGAATAGTGATGAATGAGTGGTCAGAATTTGTTTAAAAGAGAAGTATTTTGAACAACATATTTTTTTTCTAAAAAGAGGAAGAAAGTGAGAATTACTTTGAGATGGATGAAAATGGAAAGTGGTCAAACTTTTGTGAGACGGGAGTATTTGAGAAAGTTTTTTTTCCTTTTTGATGCCTGTGAGAAGTGATTGACGCAATGCTTGTCTTTTAATGTTGACGGTGTAGGAAGAAAAATGGGCAGTTTTGTTATTTCACAAGAGAAACTGACAAAGTGACAAACAAAAATGACAGTTGATAAAAAAGAAAGGGTGAAGTTTTTTAAGGGACGGAGGGAGTATATGATAAAACTATTCTCTTGTATTGGATACTGCCCACTTACCTGATGAATTGTCATCTCCTCAAGATTGAGATGTGTATAAATTTTGTCCTTGGCCAGAGCGGTGATATCACTGTAGATGGACTTGGCAGATTAACGTTTGATATGATTTAGACACTCAATAAGGTGTAAAACAAAGTTACTAGAGTTAATGCCAACCTTCGGGAATATATATCCAATAATGAGTCATTCTCGTCGACAATAGGAATTGAACCAACTTGAGCTGCAAAAGCCAATGAACAAAGCCCTTATCAGATAACCGGCATTAACATTATTGATTTTTTAATCAACCTTGTGCAGACATTAACCACTCGGAATCCCAACGTTATTTGTAAACCAAGAACATCAAAACTCTGTTTAAGAAAACCAACAAACCTTGAATTAATAAATCTAGTGCGGCACTAAGAGAATCAGTAGGTCTCAACATTGCCAAAGGCCGTGGATTTGGCTCTCCAATTTTGGGAACCCAGGTTCCTAACGGTATAGCATTGATTGGCATTTGAAGGATGGGAAGAGATGCTGGCGAATGCCGGAAATACCTGCAAATATCTACAAATTGGCACATACGATGTTAGACCAGAAATATAGAAACTTTTTTGTGGTTAAGAACGCAAATAGTAGACACCTTACATTTTAATACTTCAGCAAGGGAAGTGAGATACAGTAGCTGTGGATATGATCCGTCCTCTGCTGGTGAATGAATGATAGGAACTGTGGCTATACCATTCTGTAAAATTTTCAACGCAACGTTTTTCAAGTTGTCATCTGGACCAGCCTGCACAATATAGATATAGGTCAAGAAAAGTGATTGTTCATTGTTTAGTACAACATTAGCACGAAAAAATAAATTACAGCCATGCATAAAATAATACTCCCTCTGTCCCATATCTTTCTTCTCACTTTCTTTTTCAGGCCTCCTACTTGATTTTTCCCGTTTATTTATTTGGCAAATAAATGTTGTCAAAAAGACTAATATACCTTTTATTTTATTTTCTTTTTTCTTCTTACTCCCATCCACCACAACTCTCTTCATTTTTCTTCTTATTCGCGCCAGAACCCCCCCCCCCCCCCCCCCC